TCGGAAGGATCTGATTCCAGCAAGCCACTGAGGGGAAAAGGCAAAACCCACTTGCATGTCCGGCATCCCGTCTTCACCTTGGGACTACCCTTCCGGGGCGGCATGTTGTGGTAATAGTATGGGAGACGGCGATGAGCTCCAGCGTTCGATTATCCCGTAGTTATCTGCCGTTCCCGTTGATTGTTGTCCTTTGACAAAGTGGGGCAAAGTCCGAAGGTATGTTTTAATAGCGTCGCTGTCTCACCGACAATCAAACGATGACAGCAGACGAGGGTATGTTTGTGTGAGCCTGTGAGAACGTGTGTGTGCGTGTGTGTTTGGTTGGCAATACGCGGGTACCTTGGCACTAGTTGAGCTCAGATGAACAAGAAATCAGTCAGAACGGGGCCAGAGCGAGGAGAAAGAATAAGGTACGGATAGAGACGGGGATACGGAGTAAAAGGTAAAGGCAAATGGATTAGAGATGAAATGTTGTTTGGGGGCGCTTGGCCTAGGCTTGGCTGAGCTGGCTGGCTGGCTGGATATGTGGAAACAGATAGAAAATCTTGTGCGGCCCCAGTCACGATGGGGAAGAGAGGCAAAAAGATCTCTCTCTCTTATGGGGCTAATGCGAGCCCCCTTCAGCCAGTGAGACGCGTAAGTGTTCGTGTGCAAAAGGGGAAGTTCGGGAATGGGTTGGGATCAGATAGAGAGCTCTGCGGGGACGGGAGACGGCGTCCTTATCCCTGTCGTAACACCGACTAACCCGAACCCGAGGCTTAGCTCAAGGTAAAGGTTGCCAAGCCCGCTTTAAGTTTACCCTACGGATAGTGCCTCCACACGTCCGGCCACTGCCGGGATGTGGGTATCGGCCCTGCCGCATACCGCGCCGATTTGCCAACAAGGCCGCTGTCCGGGGACGGGTGTGGCTCTCTGGATTGCCCGGATACCGGGAACCGGTGGGATGTAGCATTTACTTAATTTTGACGACACTTCTTTGGTCGACTAAGATCATAGGGCTGTCGTGGGATTACTCTAAGTCTAGTTTCTTCTCATGCACCAGACTTTTTAGGACTGAGGTCAAAAGCAACGTGTACTTCACATCTTCAGTAGCTCACAACATTATGCCGTATTCAGCCAAGCTTCTTGCATAAACGACTTGGATTCATGTACTATTCTGAATGACTTCCATCTCACATCACTCCTGCGAATGCGCAGAATCAGAAACATCCTCGGGCTTTTGCGCATAGACAACGTGACTAAAAATGTTAGCATGAATAGCCCACGACAGGCAGCAAGGCGTGAACTTACATTTTCCAATAAGCGTGCATCCTCTTATCCTTCAAATCCCTCCGAACGCCAGCACATAGGGCAAGAACCTCTTCTCTAGACCATTCCAACACACGAGTGAGAAGAGCGAGAGACAGCCCCTCGAGACCGAGGTTGAGGTTGACAAATTGCCACTGTCCGAGATGTTTCAGATGGGGATCCTCGGGCCAGGTGTTGAGAGGCAGCTTGTAGTCCTTACGGACAATGTTGATAAAGCCAGCATTCTCCAGGTCCGCGTTCTTGTGGGCCAGACTCTCCAGCGGCCGTCCGATCTTTGTCGCGGCTTCTTACAGCAGCTCGTGCCACTTCCATAAGTCAGAGTCCTTGGGAACCGAATCATCGTCGCAACCAGGCGGCAATTCGAGTCCTGCGACTTCAAGATGACCTCCCGGAGTTAAGCCACTACGTGAGACGTGTGTGATGTTAAGCAAAAGCGTAAGTACCAGTGCGTTGGGTAATGAGGGTTGTCTTACTTGTAGATCTTCCTAATCATCCTTTCCTTATTCGCGAATGCGCCGTCCATACTTCTGCAGTAGATGAAATCAAAGGGCTCGGTCCAGGTCCATGGCTTTTCTAAGTCGTCGACCTCGAACACACAGTTCGGAGGCGCCCTAAACCAATGATTAGTAAATTACTAACGCAGTTGATTCGAAGAACGTCAACCTACCACTCAGGTTGAATGGGGCTCAAGTCAACGCCAATGACCTATTCAATGTCAGACTGCATCTTCTAGTTGCCTCGGAAACTTATTCCCCAACCTCTGCATGCAAGAATTTGTCCGCTAAAGCGACTTGTCAGTGGCACGAAACCGTGATTTCATAGGTGAGGCGACGAACCAAAATCAATGGCCCAGATTCCGGTTCCGGTTCCCATATCCAACACCCGCTTTGCGGTTCTGTGCGCAGGACACAGGGCTAACTGTTCCTCGAGCTGTAGCAGCCAGATTCGATGTTGCAGATCTAGGATCAGTTAGCAACTCGCGTAATCTCGTGTCTATGGCCACAAAGGCAAAGCAGTCGCTCACCGAGACGGTCATTCTCAGGCTTCAGCCAAATTTGCGTCAGAATAGCATAAGACCCAGGATCAACGCCTTGCTCACCTCATCATTGGGGAAGCTATATTCTACTCGAAACATTAGGTTGTGCTCTCGCAAAGGTTGAATAAAGGGGGCATATACTTCCCGAGCTCATGGAGTGATACGTCCGTCCATTCTCAGCTTGATGCTCGAGGATACTCGATCTCAGAGAGGCTAGCGACGAATGCTCGGAATGCTATCAGGATATCAGACAATCGTTAGTTCATGTGTCACTGTCAATGCAATGCAACTATGAGACTCACGTCATCTCCATATTCCGACGTCAGATCATCCGCTGGCGTGGCTGGCTACTCATCCAAAACCTCGTCAGCATAAAACCCAGGGATCCACAAATAATATTGCCGCCCATGCTCTCCTTACATTCTGAGGCTCCTGCATGATTTCGGCTTCAATCGAACACAGTATATTAAGTTCTGGTGGTGTTCGATGCTCCTGTAACGTCCTGACTCAAGACACATTTGGGATCGGGATAGCACTAGCTCAAGCTTTAGTGAATGGCGGTTTTCTAAAGTCAAGATGGCAAACAACCCCTCACTGGATCGCCCCCGATCATGTGGAACGTGGCCTCTCTAAATACAACCTTGTCAATCCCATCGGCCTGTCTCGCTTAGCAATCGTTGCGGCACAGCTGCGGGGCAAAATCGCTTGGAACCCTGTCGTTGGCAAGGAGAAATATCCCCAAAGAGCATATCATGAGAGCAAAGCTCAGTTGGTTATAACATGGCCACTGCTAATTGGTCGGATGACATTGACCAGACGGATTGATTAGCGACTTTGGCTCATTGACGGACCTTGGCAAAAGAGCAAATGATTTGTGATTCAAGATAGCGAATTCCTATCCTTACCGGGCTCATGTGCTGTCGCCGCATGTCCTTATCCGCTGTTGGTAACCCGTCAGCCCCAGCAACCATAACAGACGTGGTACCTTGCCCCACCCGACGCAAACATCATGCAACGTCCATAGTTAGACCATCAAGATCGCGAGAGTCTGAGCCCAAACTGTTCATTACTTTCGCAAAGTCGGTTGACAGACCACGCCGCATTCGCATTTTTAACGCTTCTCTAACGACTGCGGTGGGAGCCTTCCACAGCCTCGTCAACGATGCTATGACTTTGTATCCGCCCTGACTACAAATTATTCTTGTCACCAAAGCACCAATGGCACTCCCGGTCTACGTTACGAAAAGTTTCTGATACCTCTTTCCGTCCGATATAGCAAACCATCTTTACCACGAATATTTCCGCGGCAAGGGAATAGAAATTGTGCTACAAGTAAAATTAGAAAGTTATTCTGCTAAGAAACTGAGTGAGTACATGTAATATCTCGTGTGAATTAGCACTACCTTATTTCCCGATGAGATAGATTTTGCAAAGGGGGGGGGGGTGTGTGTGTGTGTGTGTGTGTATGTCATGGGTATTACAGACAACGAGTCCAAAGAGAGAACTTGATATTCGGAACCAGTGTATAACAGCGGCTGCAAAACTTTCTGAACTCTCTGAACCGATTCCCTTCCTAAGCTGCCAAATTCGGTCTGACTGCAACGAGTCAATTGGCCATCTTCAAGTAACCACGTCAATGAAGCTCTTGCAATCAATATCGCCAGTGACTTTGTAGGTCGGTAAATCAACATGCACCTTCCGAGAGACAACCGCCCAGCGTATAGTCTCTTTCTAGGATGAGGAGAACACTATTGCACTCGTGACGCAATCCTAGAATTCCCAGTTGAGGGGTTTTCTCGGGGCTGCCAACACACTGCAACAGATCAGAACGTGGTTCTGTTGATTGGAGCCGCATCTATCATTGTGACCACAACAAACCCCTAATTGCCAAGCAAGAAAAAGCCGAATCGAAGAGGACATGTCTTGGGTACGGGTGATTAGCCTATTCGGCACAGAAGTTCACACAGTGGCGAGAAGTGCGGAGGATGTTGCAGTCAACTTCGAGTCTTCCGTAGGCTTCCGCTTTACAAGAATATGCGATCCAATCCTTGATTTCTTCGTTTTTTCTCTCAATGATTTTGGTGGCGTTTTTCTTAAGGAGTCTCTCGTACTCGTCGAGACGCTGGCTGACTGTAGCGTGCTTATCGATCTGCTCAGCTGAAGGTACACGGGGCTCGTAGATTGCGAACTCCATAATGCGAATGTTCAACGTGGAGCGGAGTAAAAGTATTGAGTGCTGGCCTTTCTGGATGCAGCGTTGGAGTAGCGATGGTGTTGATCAAGCAGAAAAGCCTTGCTAAAGGAATCAATGCATACATTTTTATACTAAAATGTGCATCCTACTGTTGCTCTAGAAGAGGTAATTCCTGTCAATAATTGCGCTTGGAGATAATCTTTGAACCAAGAAGATCTCAAGACAAACTTTGAAATGTGCAAATGACTGTTCGTCAACAAGGAAGAGCAATTCACGTGTTGAGTTATCACGTCGTTACAGTTTACTCGTTTGGGTAAACTTCTTTCATTGCTATGATCTGGAGAACTTTGTATCACCACCGGCAACCGGAACATGTCAATGCCCCCCAGGTAGCAAAGCGATTCTGTGTCACCACTCGTGACTTGACGCCTCTTTATGCCGCCAATAAGTCTCCTGATCAGTTCACTCTTTGATGCTGGTGTTCGAAATCGCCATCTCCTCCTCCAGTGTTTGCACCTTCTTGATGACCCTGGCAGGGTTGCCCACCGCCACCGAATGAGGCGGTAAGCTCTCTGTCACAATAGAGCCAGCACCAACAGTCGTGCCCGATCCAATGGTGACGCCAGCCAGGATGATTGTACCGCCACCAATCCAGCAATCGTCTTCAATGGTCACCGGCAGACCATATTCCTCGCATTTTATTCGGGAAAGAATGCTAGTGTCGTGGGCCGCACTATAGATGCTCACATTGGGGCCGATTTGAACACGGTCGCCAATGGTGACGAGGCTGACGTCGAGAATGGTCAGGCTGCACATATTTGTTAGAACACACTCTTTTTTCTTCATGGCATTCGTGCGATCAGGTGGGTCAGACGTACTTGAAGTTGGCAAAAGACTTAGAGCCAAAGATGATGTTGCAGCCGTAGTCGACCGACAAAGGGGCCTCGAGGAATGACTGCTCGCCAAATTTGCCCAGCAGCTGCTGTAGAATCTCCTTCTTCTTCTTGCCCACCTCCTGGAGGGCGTGCTGGCGGTGGTCGATCTCGTTGAAGTCGCGCGCGAGGCAGCGGGCTCGGTGGCGGCCTTGGTTGAGAATCGGGTCGAGGGGGTCGTACATCATGCCCGAGACCATGCGCTCGTAGTTCTCGCAAGACGGCTTGTTCTCGATGGAGCTTACGAGCTCGAGAATCTTTGGGTCTTTTTCCTTCTTGGCGTTCATTGTGACGATGTTGTGGGGGTTGGATTTGGGAAGTATTGATGTAGAAGAGAGTGGCCGGATAGGTGAAGGGAAGACGAGGAGACGACTCGTCGGAATTTAAAGGCTTGCCTCGAAGTTACTTGAGTGGGAGAAAATTGCGGACGGAGGTCGGGCTTCGTAGTGCCGAAGAAGAACGAAGGCGCTGTCATTCTTGCCTTCTCTTGAAGCCCACTGCCCAAGGAAGGAGGTCACGCGCGAGGGGTGGGACCCAAGCAGTGAGGACTGGAACCATATTAATGCCATCAACCCAGTAACATTCATCAATCTACTGACTTGGTATCTCAGAGAGGTAGCGGGATAGGTATGAGTGCTTGTACGTCCGTTTGGAAGAAATCATGAGGATTCCATTGGGAGAGTCACTAATTTTACTCAGAAGTAGACTCATGCTCGAGATCGTTCGTTACGAACGAAGCTCGATGCACAAGTTATCATGATATGTAGATCATAAACTCATATTCATAAGCTATCTTGGTTGCCATGTCCCATGCCATATATAAACCAGCCAAATAATGCGCCTCGCGAACAAGAAAATGCCATCTCAAACGCAAAAATGAAGCAATATCGCAACATCAGCCACTTGTAACATGCTTCCTTCTACTAGCCAAACGCTGCCGCGTACTCTGCAATCTCTCCTCATCCATAGCAGAACGCCACGTGCAATCGCCCGCAAACTCACACATTCGACACTTGTACGCCTCCTCGATCTGCACGCCCCGCGGCTGTCGGTCCGCTCGCCACCACTCCATCGTGCTGCCCAAGTACAGGTTCAGCGCCCGGTCGTCCATGGGAAAGACTTGGCTATCGATGAGTGAACCGTCTCCGCGGTACCTGTACTCCACAGCGAGAAGCCGACCCACGGAGTCGGCGCCGTGGGGAAAGGTTTGGCGCAACTCTGATACGAGAAGGGGGAGCAATTCCCTCAATGTCCTATACTTGATGAAGTCCGGCGCCGATGTATTATGATTTGCTTCATCAGCTTTAGTATTGAACGTTGCTGTAGTTGGAGACGGCGGGATGTAGTCCCCGTCAGGCGAGGAATCCATGTCGAAGAACAATTCGTCGTGCAGGCTGCCAATCTGGGCAATGAACGAGTCGGAGAACGGCTCATCCGGGTCCAGACCGTACCGCCGGAAAATGCGAAGGTAGTCCAGCTTATCCGCTGCCATTTCTGACAGGAAACGCTGGTACAGGAAGAGCTGCACCTTCGCCGGCCGCAGTAATGCGGGGCTGTTGGGCGCCTTCATGGACCCTCGCGTCTTCACATCCGTGAGGTAGATCTGGGGTATGTTCGCCTGCTTCTTTGAAGGGAAGTAGTCGGTGATGCTGGATTGGTTCTGCTCAGACTCCTGGCTCAGCTGCTCCATGAACTCCGGGTCCGGATTCTCGTAGCTCAGACCGTCGATGACGCCATTGACCAGATTGCCGTCGGCGAACCCCCATACTTCAAGCTCACGGGTCATACCGGTCTCACGGAGTGTTCGAAGTCCCTGAATAAGGTTCCACATCCGAAGACCAAAGCCGTCTTCTTTACTCGCGATCTCGACGCGGACTGTTGTGTGTACTTCGTCTTCAAGGTCTTGGTGTACCTTTGTCCCCTGCTTCATCGCCGCTGTCCGGGTCTTCCGACCATAGGGTAGGCGGGTGAGGGTATAGAAGTATTGTAGCTCGCACCAGGCGCCCGAGGTCAAGTCGGTGACGGTGAATGGCTTCCGGGGATACGATCGGAATCGTACAAGCGGCGATCGAGTATCATTCTCGGGATCAGGGGTGGCTTTATCGTTCGGCTTTGGTGATGAGGGGGTAGCGTTGTTATTCGAAAGGGCCCTGCTCACTAAGCGCTTTCACGTCAGTCAGTTTCAGTAGAATTTTGTCTCGCAAGGTAACACTCACAATCCGGGTAGGCGACGGAGTGGCCAGGTGACGCCGGGGGAAGATCTGCCTGCTTCTTATCGTCGGCAAAGGTCGCCTTTGAGCGACTCCGGCTAGATTGTACAGGGCCCTTGGCTGTGCCAGTCGTGCGATAGGAGAGAAGCTCGGCGGGAGCATCGTCTAGGCGAAATTCTTCTTCGGCGACAGTGTCAATCCCAAAGTCTGAAGCGATCGAGGGAGCGGCGGGGTGTGATGAAGTAGAGGTGGGGGCGGGGTTGTCGGTAATGAGCTGGCTCAGCAACGTCTCGTCCTCCAAAGAAAGATCGTAGCCATATTCGTCGTCTGAATCAAGTGAAATGGAGGAAGACATTGCAAAGGGAGGCGAGAGTCATGTCGGGTTTGCGAGGGGGGAGAGGACCCTCGTTGACGGCGTCACGACTCGGTGGGAGGGATCGCCGCTAAATGGGAGAGCGCGTCAGGAAAATGGCAGGGTGTCGCGAAGTCCAGTGACTTTCAGGCAGCCGAGCCCCACACGGTGTTCCAAAGATGACCAATGAAGAGCAAGAAAATACCAATTGCGGTGGTTGATTACATCAGCAGAGCAACGTCTCACTCATGAAAGACTCAGCTCACATGCAAGAGAAACAACACTTCGATTGAGGGAGATGTTTTCAGGACTTCACTCAGGAACATCGCAAGATACCGTGCTGAGGGTACACATTATTCTTCTCATATGTCACCAATGGAAATTAGAAATCGTAACTTTTTTGTTGAAACTGCTCAGTCTCAACTTCCGTACCAAGAGTCTAACCTCTGGCGGCGTCTTCAGACGTCATTTCGGAGTCGGTTACAGTTAAAGGCCCAGCTCACTCTCTCATGTCATAACCATGAGTCTCATCCTTCTCCAAGCATTTATTCGTTAGCCATGACACGTTCTCTCATGCCAGTATCCTCACTCCCAATCAACACAATAGCCTCTCTCTCATAGCCACGTTCGGCCATCCGATGAAGGTACATCATAAAGCCTCCTCAATCGCCAGGGCCCGAAGTGCAAGCAAGCGCTGGGGAATGTTGCCAGTTCTCGAAGACTGGACTCAAGCATGTCGCTCAAGTCTGAGTATCCTTCGACTTCACTCGTTTAAATATAACTCCTCGAATGTTGCAGCGAGGCGGGGAAGCCAAATTCGGATGCCGCAGACCCGTGGCTGGTGAGGCGGCGGATACAGGAGAATTATCGTTGAAAACGTCATCAGACAAACGGCTGCTGGAAGACAATCTGAAAGGCCGGCTTGCCTGCTTCGTAGGTGTGTTATACTCATTCAACGTGTTCATTGTGGGCTGCTCCGTCTCTGTGGTACACTTCTTGGTCCGTGTCGATCGCTTCGCCTGCTTGGGCCTGGACCGGCTTCTCCGCTTCGTTGGTGTATCCGTAGGTTGCTCATCCAGACTGGGTTGTGCGGGCTGCTTGGCCTCCGCGGGCTGTCGCACGGGCTGCTGTGTGGGCTCTTCAATCTGCGCGGGCTGCGGAACGTCTTCGACAGACTCATTCATGCGCTGATAGACGTTGTTCATTATGGCCTCGGCGAGAAACGCGCGAGACTCATAGTCGCCATCCTGGATGAGCTGCCAGGTACACTTCTCCAAGTCATCCCAACCAGAGCTCTTCAAGTCTTTGAGAAAACTGGCAAGAGCAACTCGACGCACCGATTCGTCATCGTAATCCGCAATTCTGTCAAGCATGGGGGTGCTCTTCATGTATCTGGCCAGTAAGACATTGTCAATCGGCTGTTGTTGTTTCGAAGCTCCAGCTTCTCCAGTCTGTTGAGTAAGAGGAAGATTAGTGGCCAATGTGGCACCTCGGGTCGGGGTCTTCGCACTTACCTTGGGGCTCTTTGCCTGTGTGGTAGATTTGGTTCCCGATTCAGCCGTCACCTTCTTCTTTTGGATAGCTGTCTTCTTCTTCGGACTGACGGCGTTCTTCTTCGGAATAGCCAACCTGATTTTCTTTGCGCTGGCCGTCTTCTTCTTCTGGACAGCTTTCTTTTGGGGAGAGTCGAGTTCCGCCTTCCGCTTCTTGCTTGGTGGCGAAGGCGTCGTAAACTTGGTAATGGAGCGTGTCCAAGGTCTCAAAGCCGGCAAAGTTGGATGGTCTGAGTCAAGCGGAGTAGGTTCAGCAGGTTTAGCGCTGGTCTCCTCCAATGAAGGCTTGTCGACGACGAAAAGGTTTTCCGAATGGTCTTGGATTGGTGCTGCCGGAGAATGTGCTAACGCTGCCTTCAACATACCCTCGGACGAGTAAACGCTGAGGCCATCAGCACAGTCCCGAACATATCGCAGAACACCGAGTGGCTGATGCATGGTCGCCCATTCCCACCAAGTCGACGGAGGCTCCAGCGTGTAGATGAGGAGAGCTGCAAGAATTGTGACTCGGGCGGGAGGTCGCTTGCCCTGGCCCATCTCCCGCGCTTGGCTGACAGTTCTGTGGAGGGCCTGCGCTCTGCACTTGTTACCGAAGGAGGAACTAGTGATGGGAATGGCGATCAGCACTAGAGCCTCCTTCTTCTCTTCAGATGTCAAGAGAATGTCCAAGGCGTCGGTATTGAAGAGCTTGGCGGCCGAGTCTAGCCATTCTCGCTGGAAACCCGGGATGTCATACCCAGGAAGGGTCCAGGCGTATTGTTTCGTCGCGTCGGGATCTTTTCCACTGCTTGCTGCCATTCTCGGAGTTTCTGGCAGCCTCTTCAAAGAAGAGTAGAGGACTTGAATCCCAATTGAGTAAGGCAGTAGGGAAGAATGCGTACTGTAGAGGCTGAAAGAGTCTGCAGGTAACAGGTTGCAAGAAGTACAGAAGGAAAAAGAAAGAAACTCTGTAGATGCTTCGGAAACAACCTTGAGAGGAAGTAGAGTCCACAGCTCTTTCCTTCAGCAAGAGAAGACCGAAACAATTACAAATCCTCGGGGCGGTGGCCTAGCTTCCCGGTATGTGACAAAGTTGGCTTCCGTTTGAACATTTAGGTATGGTGGACAAGGAGAAAACTAGGGAGACCGCCGCTAGAAGGGGTGGCAAAGTCCATTGGTACAGAGACATGGATTCATGGTCCGATGCAACTGTTCTTATGAATGAAAGAGGCACCTAGTGTCTTTGACTTAAGAATGCTACATTTCTTCTGGATTGAAAATTTAGGTATAGTTTGTTGCATTAAGAATTACTTGACTTAACACGACAGGAATATGAGATTCAGATACTCCGACAATCAAGCATTATTCCGGTGGTTCCTCGCAAACTCATTGCTCAACGCCCCGTCATCCCTCTCTCATATTATAGCTGCCCAAATCGAACCCTATGCGGCGGTAGCCAATCCCTTCCTGATGCTGGTTTACTGTTCGAGGCCGTCATGCTACTGTCAAGTTGTGGAGTGGATGGTGTAGTGCTTACTCGCTCATGAGACATGCGGTCATCTCTCCCATGGTAATTTGTCGTCCGTCTTTGGATAGCAACGATGGTCATCGACAATGTCCAGCAAAAGACAGTCAGCAATCACTGCTGTCTGAATCCAGACGGGTGGAATATTTTCTTCTCAAGCATTTCGGGCCGTAAGCAGTCTGTTCTTCAGCTTCTTTTCCAGTGTCTCTGCGAGCAAGACCCGAATGCTTTCCTCCGTCGAATCCACAATGTTTTGGACCAAGGCATCGAACTCTGCCATGATTGTCGACGTCAAGTGCTCTCGAAAGTCTTCAAGCATGACTTGACGTGAGAAAACATCGGGGAGACGTGCCAGCTGGGGAAGGTTTCCCGATGCGATGAAGTCGGCAACGAAGTCGGCGCTTGGGTCGAGCGGAGCCCTGTTTGCTGCTTTTTCCAGCGTGATGCATCTCCTGGTCTCTCATCACAGGGGCTTCGTTCAGGAACTGAACCTCATCGTCGCCTTCCTCAGTCGCTTCACGTTTGATGCTGATCCCTTCCCAAGACTCTATGCTTTCAGGCCGACCCTGGGACGCCTCTCTGCCCCGCAAAGGTTGATGTCGGTCTTGGTCCGAATCAGTCTTGGCTTCGGTGTGAAAGTTGTTACGCGTCTTTTTCCTGTGTGCTTGGGCAGGGCTCGGAGAAGAAGAATGAGGTCTCTTCAGGCCGATGGATCTGCTTTTCTGAAGAATTGGTGAGGCGGGGTTGGCGGAGTCATTGCGCTGAACTTCTTGAGGCGGAAGAGCAAATCTTTGTGGGCTCTTCACGGAGTTATGGCCAGACCCATCGTTCGAAGGGAATCCGTTTCGAAGACCTGATTGAGAGATTAGAGTCCGCATCATTTAGGATATTTGGCGATATGCACCTTCATGATGTTGTATACTGGAACCAGACACAGAAGCGCTTCCAATCGCGTCGTCCGCGCCTCTACCTTGTTTTTGAGCATGCTGAACTTCACAATTGTTCAAGCCTTTGCCCATGCTATCTTTCCCGTCAGATGAGCTGTCCTTCGGAGATAAGTCTGTTTGTATTGTCAGCTGGGCTGTCATTCAAAATGTACTTCACTCCAGGACTAGACGTACGGGGATAGTATTGACAATGCTGTGCCGCGGATTTCAATGTAGCGCTTCCTGCAGGACAAGCTCTCAGTGCCCCTTCCTTGGCTCTTCGCAGCCAGTCTTTCTCTCGGCTCAAGCGTCCCAAGAGGGTATCGTCTCTCCACTCCTCAAAGAAGAAGACGTTCTCTGCTTCCCGGGGAACGAAGGCGGCAATGCAGAGACCGTCCGGGTTGGGCTCGCAAAGAGCGAAAAGCTTGCGGCCACGAACCCCCAACTTGTATACAACTTTGAAGGCTTTTTTGACCGTAGTATGATCCAAGGGGACAGTGCCGCAGTTTTCCACGCTTGCGTTTCTTAGACGGTCTGGTCGGTATAGATCAGTCATATCCGGAATCCACCATCCAACCCAAAGACCACAGGGATGATCTAGATGACCAAGTACGTCTTTTTCGTGCGCGCATGGCAAGCTCCAGGTGTCTCTGGTTCCGAGCTCGACCGACCAAGAGTTCTCTAGGCGATCCATGAGATCATCTCCTTCGAAGTGGAAGACGACAAGATGCATGCTGCGCGGAGGCGATCCAGCGTAATCGAGACCATCGTCGAAAGCATCCAGCCAGGAGTTATAGCAGATCTCGCGGGTGGCATCTGTTTTGAGAGATGCCATGTTGTAAAGGCGCGATTGTTTGTAGACTGATCGGTATGAATATGTCAATGAAGGGGGGATCAGTTCGTTGACACGGGAAGGTTAGGTCGGCTTTTTGCGAGCTTTCGCGCGGTGTATCGACAATGAGGTGGGTGCAATAGCCCAGCTCAGAGCGAGCGAAGAAATATATTGAGAGTCTTCAATTTCCAGGAGCACTCGGAAAGCCGTTGTGGAGGAAATCGAGAAATTGCTCGTCTCTTGAAGGATCGAGTTTAAAAGTGGAAAAGAAGTTGGCCAGAGAACAAAAAAGTTTACGTGTCTGGAGCAACCAGTGTATGTATGATATGCACAGATCTGATGTTTCTGTAAATTGCTCCAGGGGAGACCTCAAAATTGAATCGTTACTTACTATTGTGCACTCACTCACTTCACCTCGCTCACTTCACCTTGCTCATCGTCTGTAAGTCGGCGGGCGATCATGTGACGGGAGCAATTGGGACGGCAACAGCGCCCCTCCCCCTTCCCCATAAGGGCGGTGTGTGCTATCGAAATAAATAAAGAAAATCGAATTCTTTTCCTAGAAAATCTCAATAGCTAATCAAGGTACTTTCAACGGATCTTTCATACAAGCTGACCGATATCTCAGAGCAAATAAAGCACCTCAGTTGAAGTAGGCGCCGGCGTTCTACTTCCCGGCCCCACGAACGGTTCGGGGTGGGCCACCAACCTAATTCTCCAACGGCCCGCTCGGCTTACACACGGTTAACCTTCCGTTATTTTTTAGGTTCAGTGACCACACCACCCACCCTTCAAAGCACCTTATTTCCAATCTGTCGATGAAAATGAAGGTCTCACAAGACGGAGCACAGTTCCTGTATGGAATAGAGGTAAAAAGCAAAACAAATCGACCGAGCTGGGACTCGAACCCAGAACCTTTGCCACCGGAAAGCAACGCGCTGCCATTGCGCCACCCGGCCGGGTTCATGAAAAGGTTTGGAAATTTGTGCGCTGATAATGCGTGGCTTAGCGGGACCGAGAGCGGATCTCAGGCGATCAGCCGCGCCACAGAACCCCCTACGCCTGGTAGGTGGCGTCATTCGCCCATGCCAAAACTCACAATTTCTCTACGCAGTAGGGCAGCTATCATCAGCGACACCATCCATCCACTTACACCCCTTGCCAGAAACACAACGATCTTACCGCCGACAGTCTTGTTCTTTTCTTGGAAGCTTCACCAACATGGCTCGCGTTCCAACAATAGCCACCGTCGTCCGCGGCGCAGGCGTCAATATCGTACTCAAAGCAGACCAACCCACAGGTCGCACCGTCTCTGGGACCGTCCAGGATGTGCTCACGCGCGGCAACCACCCACGAGGCATCAAAGTCCGGCTCTCCGATGGACGGGTTGGACGAGTTCAGTCTCATACCGATGGCACGCAACAGCCGTTAGAACCATCATTTACATCCAGCGAAGTCGCCGACGGCTCGGCCGCGTATGGAGATTCGCGCAGACCTCCCCGCCGCGGCGGCGGTCGCAGGCAAGATGCTGAGGCCGAGTTGCCTTCCGCGCAGGTTGGGCTCGAGGCTTATATTCGCCCTGCTAAGCAGAAGAATGGTGGGCGAGGCAGGGTGGCTGCAAACCCTGGTGCCGAGCAGGAAGCAGCGCCTACTCCGGCTTCTGAGACCGTGACGTGCCCTGTCTGTGGTGAGTTTGAGGGTGATGCTGCTGCTGTTGAGCATCATGTTGCGGGTCACTTTGACTGAAGCACGGTTGCATCATCTCACATCACTTCACATCACCACACGACACTCGGCGCTGCCAGTACTTCTTCACCGAAGTCTCTATTAAGTTTGCAAATTCCTGCGTCTCATCTCCCAGAAGAGACGAGTGAGGAGGCGCAAACTATCTCTCTATCCATCTATCGAGACCCACCTAACCCAGACCTCTGTCAGCAAGCCATTTACCTCACCTCTTACAGGCGATACCTGAAGCCGGCCGTCTTCCAGTCCGTCACATCCTCATAATCCTCAGGCTGAAGCTCAACCCGATCAACCATATCCGCGACATCACCAGCAGTACCCTCAGCCTGCATGACCTTACCGCCACCAACGGCACCAGCACCACCAGCGCTGCCCTCGTACCCTTCCTCCCTCGTGCGCTTGGCGTTCATCCACTGGAGGTAGAACCGCAGACCGAGCGCCAGCACCACGACGAGCGAGTAGCAGATCATGATGGTGCGGAAAGCAGTGTTGTAGTGTGGCTCCTCACTGGCCTTGAAGAATTGCGGACCAGCAATGTTGCCAGCGCAGTAGGCGAGGAACAGCAACGACGACATGGTCATCTTCTTGGTCACGCCGCGGTAGTTTGCCGAGACGAGCGACATGGCGAGCGGCATCGCGGCCGGGCCGGGGGAGAGGAGGAAGTAGCCAAAGAGCTGGACTCCGCTGCTGACGCTTTCGCGGGAGTAGATGATCGCCGCGCCCGTGATGCACGGCATCACGACGATGGCAATGAGGATGCAATTCATCTTGCGATAGCGGCCCGCGATCCAGCCCGTTCCGGCGATGACGGCGGCAGAGAGAAGCGAGTAGGGGATGTTGATGAGGGTCGACTGCAGACTGGTGAAGCCAAATGACTTGATGACGAGGTTGGCAAAGTTCTGGGTGCCGCCATTGGGGATCTGAGTGATGATTTCGAGGCCAAAGATGAACCACGTCTTGGGGTCGATCATGCACTCGACAACCTGGTCCCACTTCCAGTGCGTCTTCTCCGTGGACCCCGTGCCGGCGACGACAACGCGGTCGGCGGCGTACCGGCGCTCCTCAGGCTTGAGGAAGCGGGCCTTTGAGATGGTATCGGGCAGCCAGATGAGCAGCACAAACGCCCAAACAAAGGTGAGGACGCCAAGGATGATGTACATCCAGCGCCAGGGGCCGACTTTATCGTCGCTCGAGATATGGCCGAAGCCAAAGGCGACGAAAGAGGCGACGAGCCCGCCGACGCTGTTGCCGGCGAACCAGATGCCCGTGCGGGTGGGGATCTCGTCGCGGGTGTACCAGGTGGAGGTCAGGAACATGAAGGCGGGCGTGATGGTGGCCTCTGCGACGCCGAGGAGGAAGCGGACGGTGAGGAGGCCGCCGTAGTTTGTGCAGGCGGCTGTGAGGGCGACGACGGCGCCCCAGAAGAAGGTGTTTGCGGTCATGTACTTTGCGACGGGGAGGCGGGCGATGAGGAGCGAGGTTGGGTAGGTCCAGGCGAAGTAGCCAAAGTAGAAGATGCTGGAGACCCAGCTGTAATTTTGGCCTTTGAGATGCTGTTCACGAGGTTAGCACCATACAGTCGTGAAATGTATGAGTCTGAATGTGAAAAAACGACGTACGGTGTCGGTTCTGAGACCAAATACAGAGGCGCTGGACAGAATCGTCTTGTCCATGAAGTTGAACATGTAAGTGATGAAGAGCAGCGGGATGATATTGAAATCAATCTTGCGGACAATCTTCTTGGCCATGTCGCTGTCAATGTGCTGCCTGTCCCCATCCTGCACCTCGGCGGGAGAGTTCTGCGGTGCGTCTGTTGATGACCCCATGTTGGCGAGCAAGTTCTGCCGTTCGTCGATTAGGTCGTCTTCCTCTTGATCGTCGTCGTCAACTGCTGTCCGAGAACTCGAAGCTCCTACAGAGAATCCTAGGGTCACATCTCGAGAGCGGCGCCGGGGTGTCGTCGCCCTTTTGAAGGAAGCGGCCATCCAATAGGTCCCGGGGGCGGGGATGGTCGCGACCTTTCCGCGGCCAAAAGAAAAATGGCCAAGCAGAGAAAATGCACGTTACGTGCCTTATCTTCCGCCGATCTTCCCCGACAGTGACAGGCCGACGCGTTCGCCTGTTCCTCCTCTTCTCTCTCTCTCTCTCTCTCTCTCTCGCTCCGGTCCCCTTGTTCTAACGAACGGTCCTACACTCGCGAACCGGCAAAATGACCGACCAAAACGTCTAGACGATGGCCGATAACAGGACGTCAATTGATAAGACAAGCGTTTGCGTCCGCGCGACGGGAGTGGGCGAACAGCTTAGCGACCGCTAGACTCCGCTGAATAGACGGTGTTCTCCAGTGTCTTGCGTGGATTGGCCTGGAGATATCGTCCCACCTTCGTGTGCTGTCGGCGAATATCCGAACCGACGAGATACGACGTTACTCCGCTAGTGCCACTACAGCGATCGCGCCGTTCAATGAGCTCTCGTGGTACCGTCGCGATGTGGGGAGAAAAGAGAATGTTTGACGGAATTTGGAGATGAAAGAAGACCATGTGAGTGGACGAGCACAAAGCTGCTGACATTGACTAAAGGTGTTCGATACCGACTTGGTGGTTATGGTTGGCCCATTGACAGGATATGGGGGGATCAAAACTTTAGTCTTTGATTTTGTGACTCTCTCGTTGCTAGTAATTTCCTTATCGAATCCTTCTCTAATACCCCACATTGCTGCGAACATCGGCCATCAGAACTCCATTCTTATGTTTTCAGTCTAATATGATTCGTGATTCTTACACGCCGAGATATACAAACGTTCCAGAACTAAGCTTATTGAGAAATGGCCTGTGAAAATGTACCAGCCGACGAGGAGAGATGCGACGTCGAGCTGTCGGCCCATGTCCGACACTGGCCACCCGCGGGCTATTTACCACGCGACGCCCAGCCGGATCGGCAAACGTGCCCGCGGAGACTAACAAGATATCAAGACATCCTAGTCTCGGGCTGCCATATCCCGCACGCTTGATTGGCTCTTCATTTACACGATCAGAATTCTCAACTCTCACTGTCTTCCCATCTTGACACCAGCAACCGGGAACCTGGAATCTGACAGCGGGCAAACCCCCAACAACCCGAAACCATGAACGGCCTCGAAATCTCACCCTTCATCGCCTCCCTTCCCAAGGTCGAGCTGCACATCCACATCGAGGGAACCCTCCTTCCCGCCCTCCGCTGGAAACTTGCAAAACGTAACCACGTGCCCCTGCAATACGAAACCTACGAGGCTCTCCTGGACTCGTACAAGGTCTTCTTCAACCACCGCCCCGAAATTAACGGCCGGGTCCCGGGTATCCCGACATTTCTCGAGGCCTATTTCGCAGGCTGCGAAGTCTTGAAAACAGAAAATGACTTCTACGAAATGTCAATGGACTACTTCCGGCGCTGCGCCGAGATGAACGTCCGCTACGTCGAGCCGTTTTTCGACATCCAGGCGCATACGCGGAGGGGCGTGCCTGCGGAGGATGTGCTGAACGGATACTTGAGAGCTCAGCGAGACGGCGCGGAGGTCCATGGTGTGAAGTCGAATTGGATCTTTTGCTTCATCCGCGACGAAAGTCTCGAGGACGGATTGGCTGCGTACGAGGCGGCCAGGCCGTGGGCTGCGGGTAATGTCGAGGGTGGCAAGGGTCTCTTCCACGCTGTCGGGCTGGCGAGCAATGCCTTCAAGAGGCCGCCGATGCTCTTCGAGCAAGGGTTCCAAAGGGCGAAGAAGGATGGGCTGCATGTCACAATGCACTGCGATTTCGGGCAAAAGGATACGTTTGAGCACGTCCATGAGGCGGTTTTCGAGGTCTGTGATGGCGCTGGGGCGGAGCGTATTGATCATGGGCTTGATGCGGCGGATAAGGAGGAACTGCTGCAGGGGTTGTTGGATCGGGGGATCGGCTTGACGTTGTGTCCTCACGCGTATCATCGGCGGACGGCGACGGAGGTATTATTCCCCAAAATTCGGACTTTGTGGGAGAGTGGTGTCAAGTTTAATATTAATAGTGATGATCCGGTGTATATGCATGATGTGTGGGTGGATGGGAATATGCAGAAGGCATACACCTACTGTGGGTTTAGTAAGAAGGATATGGTCAAGCTGGCGAGGAATGGGGTTGACATGTGTTGGGCTAGCGAGGAGGTGAAGAGAGAGTTGTATCAAGAGTTGGACGCAGTCAAAACCGACTAGAATGATAGTACTTAAATGACAACGTAAGGTCATCAAACCATGCATCATGTGTTGTCTCATGCATAAGATCATAAGATATGACTGATACTGAGTAAGGCCTACTCGTCGAATGAGGACAGGTTGAAACATGAGAGCTATTATAGCGACTAGACATAACATCTTGCTGTCGATTCAAAGATTCTTATCAGCCTAGAAGAGCTACCTTGGATATGAGTGCATCTACGTGTTACCAATTCAACCACACGCAATCCATGGCTCAAGACTTCTTTCGTGTCTTTAAGCAGCGGGTACCGAGACCTTTTTCCCCAGCTCCCGACGGTGTAAGAACCTGATCAGCAACGAAGTGCCTGCCATACCAACAGCAAAGAAGATCATTGTGACATAACCCTTCGGGTACCGAGGAGCCTCGACTTGCTGCCAAATAAGCAGCGGCAACCACGCCTGGAAAACGTATGCCATCTGATTCATCGAGCCCGTCACGAGCGCTCGCTCTTCGTTATCGTCTTTGCAAATTTCATGGGCCCACGCGAACGTCAACCCGCTGATGCCACCACCGAATCCGACGAGCAGGAAACAGCCCCATTTCCACGAATCGGAGATATTCCACGCTGCCAAACTCGAGTAGAGCACGATATTGAGTGTCCCGGAGAAGACTATCGGCGGCCATCTCTCACCCTTGAAGACGGAGTCCGAGGACCAGGCGTAGATCCACGTTGTTATCACCGTGATGGCTGATGTAATCGTCGGATATGTGTTGTACTCCTTGACAGAGTATCCCTCTCCTTTCAACCACAACTGGAACGCAGGCTGACTCATAATTCCGCATCCGTTGTTGAAGAAGATATACAGCGCAGTGAGGGCATAGATATGCCAGCTAGTGAAAATCTTCTTTATCTTGGCCTTTGTGAACGGCTGCCGGTTTGCTCTCCCCTCAAGCTGCATCCGCTTTTGCGCAAGAGCCACGTCATCCTTGGTCAACCACCAGGCTTTCGTGATCTCAGGAACATCAGGCAGGAAGAAGAACCCGGCAATCGCGATTGGCAGGGAAATCACGGTATCAACGATGAAAAGCCACTGCCAGCCCTTCCATCCGTGGACGCCACTGAGATTGTAGACGGCGGCCATAAGGTATCCTGAAAACATGGAGCCGATGGAGCCCGCAGAGTGAAAAAGGCAGGATCGCTTGGCAAGCTCGTCTTTTCTGTACCAGCATCCAATGATGTACTGCATGCCGGGATAGAATGTGCTCTCGGCGAGACCAATGAAGAAGCGGAGGACGTAGAGCTGATTGACGTTTGTACATTTGATCATGAGGATTGTTAGAACGGCCCAGGTGCATTCGCAGGCGGGGATCCAGATTGATGGGCGGACGCGGGTGAGAAGGATGTTGCTGTGCAAATAAGCGTCAGTACTTGTAACACAAAGGAAAGACTTGGAGCCGGCGTTGAACTTACCTTGGAATTTCGCCAATGACGTATCCGACGGTCCAGCAGGCTTGCATGTAGTTGAGCTCGTTGCCAAAGAGCTTCATATCTTCTTTCATGCCAGATACAAACGCATTGTTGATGTTGATCTGATCCAGGTTCCTGACGACATGTTAGTACAGACAATGACTTAATTGATAAGAGCCAGCTTACTTGATGAAGTATCCCAGACTTGCAAATGTGAGAATGACAGCATCCAGTTTGAACATGAACTTGCGTTCTTGAGGTGACTTGTCTAAGGTATCCCAGACATATGACCGCCATGTGAGCTTCGGTTCTTCTTGCACGAGCTCGACAACAGTTGGTTGGATCCCTCGCGCGTTGACGGAAGATGGCGACTTGCTCCGAGGCGAGTCGGCGACCGTAGTCTTTTCGATCTCTGGGACTCCCATACTTGCAGCTAGTTAGTCTCGGAACCAAAAAAACGAGTAAGTGATCAGCTGCGCGCCTGGATCGACATCACCAAAAGTGATAACGACATTCGCTGCAAACGCTAGACTTTATATAACAGAATATGCGGAATTTTCTTGCGTCGCGTTTTCAAGTTTTCCAGGGTCTTTCGGGCCAACATCGGAGCAGACTCGCATGGGCAACTAGGGAACAACTGGGCATATCGCTGACGAGGTTTCTGGATACGATGGCGTGCTGGACACAGCTGAAGGCACCGTAGGCACAACGCCGCACAAGCGCGCGTCTGTCATCCTTGATGCGGACAACATCCGATGGACAATCTGTCATTGACATGCAGAAGATGCTTTGAAGATTGATAAATGCTGCGTGATGATCGATTATCCGGGACGGACCGGAACATACTGTTGCCAAATCACCTTAGATAGGTTTCCCAGGTTGTCCTCCTAATCAGATGCCATGAGCGCTCAGATTATTTGCTAGCGCATCGAGTTGTCTAACTATATTCGCTTGTAGATACTCTCGTTATCCGGTCGATCAAAAGCTTCGCGAAAAGCTTTTTGCTGGGCAGGTAAAGTTAGTAACTTAGCCAAGAACTGGGTCGGCCTCTATGGTGAGGGGAACACGGAGTTAGGAAACCGGGAGCTTACACTCGCGCTCCAGCAATTAGATTCCCCCGCACGAGTGCAGCCCTTCAAACCCGATTTCTTCGGGTGATGATCTCTTAAAGGGGATTGGGCTGATGTTGGTTGACGAGCACACAATCGGCCCCTTGTATCGCGTAACCCCCACTCGAGAGCGCCGCCGCCGCCGATGCGCCCCGGATCCGCTTCCGCGGGGGAGGGTAGGGCGAATCGTCGAGCCAACAACTGGCTGATTAAACCCTCCATTATCTTTGGCTAGATTTCTAACTTCGAGCTTCTGGAGAGTTTGGGCGTTGATCGCGTGCTGACGCCGGATTTTGGTTGGCGAATTTGCTCCCCGAGTTCCGTGGCGCGGTGGTTCGATGTTACGCATCTGATTCTGGATTCGTCACATTTGATGCAGATGAAGCCATAGATTACCTCTGCTAAAAGCACCATTGACCCCGCGATTATTGGTAATCATGGAATTGTTGATTAACGTGATCAAATGAGGAGGTCCCGTGGGATTGGGCCTGAGGATTCATGCCGTATTAGAGGCCGTGGATTACAAGATTTAAAAAGCTGCCTGAGCCTATCTAATCCAGCTCGAACTAAGAGTTGCTGAGAACTCTTCTAACTTTGCAAAGACTTGATATCATATCCATTCCCTCGATCAAACTGCATTTCCACATCTCCAACTAAGATCACCATGGTTCCCGCTCCCATCGACCCATCAATCACCGACGTAGCGGAGCCGCGGAAGGACACCCTCGGGCTCCCCGAAACTACAAAGGCAAGGCTAAGTAAGGCTGGGGTGGACTTGTCAAACGGGTACCCGTATCGCCCTTCACGACCTCTGTACCTGGATGATGCATACAACATCCGCAACAAGGAGCGGGAGTACGTCGACGCCGGCTCGAGGGCCGACAAGTCCAAGAAGAACCTGCTCGGGGCGGCGACGAAAGTCACCAATCTAACGGCTCACATTGGTACGGAGATTGAGGGTCTGCAATTGAAGGACCTCACGCCCGAGCAAAAGGATGAGCTTGCGTTGCTCATTGCTGAGCGCAGTGTTGTCTTCTTCAGGGACCAGGATCTGTCGCCTCAACAGCAGAAGGAGTTGGGAGATTGGTATGGTGAAGTTGAAGTTCACGTAAGTCATGTTGATTTCAGTCCGGCTTTATTTGCAATAGCATGTGATCAAGCTAAAGGTATCAATAGCCTCAAGTTCCGCAAGTCCCTGGCGTCCTGGGCGTCACGGTAATCTGGCCAGCCTTGATGGCCACTGAGAGAAAAGCAAACTTCCGTAACCCTGGCGGTGCCTCGAAATGGCACACTGATCTGGTCCACGAGCGTCAGCCATCCGGCATCACTCACTTGCACAATGATGCTGTCCCGCCGATTGGCGGCGACACCCTCTGGGCTAGCGGATACTCGGCTTACGAGAAGCTCTCGCCTGACTTCCGCAAGATCATTGATGGGAAATACGCCGTCTACCGCTCTGCTCACACGTATCTGGACCGCAACGACCCCGAGGCTGGACCGAAGCACATCGAGCGGGCTCACCCTCTTGTCCGCGTTCATCCTGCGACGGGATGGAAGTCTCTTTACGTAAACCGTCTGTTTACCACGCATATTATTGGTCTCGACAAGGCAGAGAGTGATGTCATCTTGAACTACCTCTTTGACGTCTACGAGAAGAACGTGGATATCCAAGTCCGCTTCAAGTGGACTCCCAATACCAGTGCTCTTTGGGATAACAGGTACGCACATTCTAAACGTCAGACGATGGTGCAAATTCATAACCAAGTAACATCATTTAGAATCACTATCCACAACGCTAGCTGGGATTATGAGGGCAATCACCCTCGTCATGGAACTCGTGTAACATCCCTTGCCGAGAAGCCGTATTTCGACGCGGCGGCACCTAGTCGACGTGAGGCCTTAGGCTTACTGGGCCCGGACGAGAAGGAGGACCTTGGTATTGATGGGACTATCAAGGGGCTGAAGGACTTCTCTCTATAAGTTGAATTTGACGACGTTCTAATTCCAGCAAGCTTCTCGTAGAACTCTTAGTGTGCTCTTCTCTTCACCAAGACATGGTAGTCATGCCACACATAATCATTGCCTGCATCCCTCTCCCACACGAACGTATCCTTGTTAGCCATTTCTAGATCAAACGAAAATGCTACTTTGGCTACAGTCAGACGAATGGACTGCAAAGCCATTTCGCGACCAATGCACACCCGAGGTCCGACGAGGAATGGCCGGTAGCTGGTCCGGACATCGTGCTCAAAGACGGTGCCCGGACCGTTGTCAAGCCAGCGATCAGGTCTGAACTTGTCAGCAAGAGCCCAATACTCAGGCTTCCGGTGAATAGTCCAAATATCAGCAGAAACATTGACGCCCTTGGGCACGTACAGCCCATCAATCATGGCCCCAGGTGAGATGCGATGGGAGCCGCGGCCATTGATGGGTGGCGTCAGGCGTAAAGTTTCCTGGATGCAAGGATTCAGGTACGGGAGCCGGAGCACGCTCTGAGCCGTGATTTCAGAGACTGAGGAATATGCTTCTCGGACTTCTTTCTGAACCCGCTTGTAGTGGTCTGGGTCCCGCAGCACGTGGTAAAAGACTGCTGACAGAGTTGTAGCCGAAGTGTCATAGCCAACCATGCTGTTTCCAGTTAGAATCAGGGACGGCGGGGTGATGAGACGACAGGAAATGAGGGGAAACCTACGCAAATAAGGCCGAATTACTCAACATCTCCGGCTGAGTCAATCCCGCAGATTCTTTGGCGGATAAGATTGCGGTCAAGAAGTCTTTGCGCCCTCCTTGGCGCTCGATGCAGCTATAATTGTGTGAGTTTGAGTTTATGTCGGAGAATGGAGTTCGACTAGCTCACCCTCTGAGTTGGTTCATCAAAAGGAAGTTTTTGGGGACGCGAAAAATGTGTGGAACTATCATGACTGGCAGTTTTGCGAGCCCACCGAAAATAGGTGTCTCTGTCAGAAATTGAAAGAGTTCTAGAAGGGGCGCTCCTTTCCCGTAAGTGTACTTCATTTTTTCGTACGTGCCTAACAAGACGATCAGCTTGAAAACAGCAAAGGGCGTGCATGTTATCCCTACTCACTCATTTGATCATGGAGGAGCGGTTCTCCAAAAGACAAGTCTCCAACGATACTCCAAATCATCTTTCCAACATGATCGCTGATACTCACAACCTTGTTCTCTTGAAGTTTCGAACCTAGAGACTCGACGGCCCGATTAACGTGGTGCTGAACGATGTCTTCCTGTTCCATCAACGCTTTGGCTGTGAAGGCTGGCTGTAATGCAGTACGCAGTCTCTTATGTGCAGTTCGATCAGTGGTGGTCAAAAGGTTTGGAGCTGCCCAAATGAGTTTGGCGAGCAGAGACTCGATTGTACCTTGCTTCGTGAAGTGACCGCCATCGGGACCGGGGTTGTGGATCGTCTTAAGGGCATCTTCTGTGGCAAACGAAAGCTCGTTTGGACCGATACGAACGACAGGTCCTGAGGGCAAAATCATTAGCAGAGCTCAGGAAGCTGTGCCTTGGCATGCGCATTTACCATATTGGGCATGCACCTTTTCGATGTCATTGTTGAGTCGATGTCCTGATACGGACCGAATGAGCCAGATCTGACACTGAAATTAGCACGAAGGAGAGTATTGAGAAACAATCTTGCGCGCATACCGGAGATATGGACGCGATGAAAGGTCCTTTCACGTGTGCGATGGGATGAAGATAGTAGTTGTAAAGACCCAAAATGATTGGACTTGCTACGCCCTAGAATCAACGTAAGTGGTTAGTGGGGCTTCTCTGAAGTTGGAAAGCAGTATTCTGCCTACAAAGAGGCCAAGGTAGAGAGCTAGCGTTCCCCATGTGGCCCAAAAAGATAGTGGCGCATTAACCCATGGCACAGAGAGTAATCCAAGCTTCTCGCCTTGGAGTACAGGGATCGACGAATCCATCTTAGTTCTTTTAGTGTTGATAATTCAATAAAGAATTGCAATCGCCAGAGTCTTTTGTCAAATCTGATTTCGATCTTGAGCTATATCGAACAGGAATCTTTTTCTAAAGTCCAACCAAGGTAACCAAAGAGGGTCTCCAAACGCGTGACTCCTTCTACACATCAACTACCTATGCCCCGATGGTCAAGACTTTCACGGTCTGGTCGCTTCTGAGCCCTGACTGTACCAACACAACCCAATCGTTCCTAGTCGATGACAACACTGCCTTCGCAACCGAAGAATGACCTGATTCGGACTTGACTGTGCCATTTTGGGCAATGCCGAAAGCTTGATAACTTTACGAGTCCGGGCCGAAGCCGTTGACAGCAGGTTAGATTAGCGGTTCAGAACTATTTGGGTAAACTCTCCGGTCTCGTTTTGTACTGCACGCTCTGTCGCAAAAAGCAACCGTGCTGAAACGACATGGACTACTGGTGTCCGTTTTGGGTTTGCGAGACCTTACTGACAATCAACTCAGCCGCGTTATCTCCCCAAAGTTTTCGTTTTAGAGGCTTGTGTCGGGAAGAATTCCGCGCAATTGTAACTGTTCACATCTCGATGAACACTCTGCCCCTCACGTCATATTGCAGCAGAGTCACTAAGCTTACCCACGGTCCGAGGCCACTTAGACATCTGTTAGGGTTATGCTGAGCACCAAATGTGGTTTTGTTGTCATGTTCCTATTAACACAGACCTGGGACTCCTCGGCTATCTTCTGAAAAGACCATCTGTGTCATGATATATCAACCTGAGCTGCTCGGAATGTGAGAACACGCCTGAGACTTAGATGCGGCACTATTGTTTGAACAGTGACTTGAACACGGATGACTAAGTTAATCTTTTTCATGAGGTAAAGCGTCGATGGTTCAAGCTAGGCATAAGTGATTGCAACTACACGTGCTCTTTTGCAGGCAACTATCTAGTTCCGACGTCTCTCGCGTGGTGAGCATGTGTTAAAGACAAGCTGAGATGACCTGCTCGCCAATGCTGGCAGCTGTTGGCGTTCTTCCGTCAGCTCCCAGGTTCGCTCATGCATCCAAGAACCATGACTCGCCTGAATGTAACAACATCTGAAATCTGGGCAGCTCCCCGGGCTGGGATGAAAATAAGCTCAGGGCAGAATATACCTCAGATGGGACCTCCACTCATCGCAAAGTCTAAAAGCGCGTACATCTCGGACTTGTCTGGACGTGCCGACGGAGACTTGAATCTCCGCATCAGATTAACACCTATGGCCCGATGCGGAGGAGGAGACCTTGGCCAACTTGCCGTGACCTCCTTGTAAGTTCTCTTATGTCGTGGGGTAAGCATTAGAACCTCACACAGCTGACAACAGGACAAACAACAATGATAAGGACAGCGGAACTTCAATCCGCAGAGTCTATGCTGTTCCCTGCAGAATTTGACAATTCGCAAGGTTTCAGCTCGGAAATGATAAAGCCACCTTAACACTTGGGTTTTCTTCAAACCCTCCGCCGGATAAGTAGAACAACTCTATCGACATGGTGGGCCGTCTAGAACAATGCATTCGACTCAAGTCATTACGACGACCTTGCCGGTGTGCAGGCTGGAGAGAACTTCAAAACCTTGTTTCCCGTGCTGTCACTGTTGCACTGCAACCTCGGAGTTTGTTGAAAGATGCTTCCCATCATCGCGTGGAAGGACCTTCTTATCATTGGGTTTTCCAAAGAAAAAAGGCGATGCCACCTAGGCACCATGTGAGCGGGCGAACTTGGGATAAATCTTGTTTGCCAAAGTTTCCTCAGACGTTGAACACGACCATCTGGGGGTTGTAATCCGATCTATGTAAGCCTTGGGCCATGTGGGATGGTACTGGGGCGGCACGTTTTTTCCTAATGAAGCCTCGAAAACCTCAAAACGGTGTGTGCGATACTTGAAGTACTGGATGAACAATGATGAGTGTGGTAATATGATCATCCCTTAGCGAGTAGTCTCAGATCTACCAATTCGACAAACACCGACCTTCTAACTTTCACCCAAGCACCAACCTGCATACTACCGCATTGTCCCCCGGCCCAAATCGCCAAGATGTTTGGCACTCTCATGTATGATCTCCAACACAAAGAACCAACGTTCATAGAAAACAACCCCGAGGCTGTCATCAATCGTAATCGACGCGGGAAACCTCACATTGCATGCGAATACTGCAGAGCACGAAAGGTTCGTTAGCGTTCAGTCTTGAAAAAATATGACGTCTATATACTGACGTTCAAGGGTTGACACAGCTTCGATGCAACGGAGACCCGAATGGCTGCGATAGGTGCAAATCAAGCTCCAACACTTGCAAGTACCCAATCAACAGGAATACCGTTCGAAAACGAAAGCAATCAACTTCTTCGACCAAGGAAGTATCGAAGACCCGACAGTCTTCTTTCGATAGCTCAGCGGCACCTCCATCACCTTCATACTCTGAAAAATTCGACTTGGATCCGTCATTACTGTTCACGACGAGCCAGGAAGCCTCAGAAGTACTGACGGAACTGGAAAATCTCCAACGGCAAAACGGTTTACCGAGTCCTACGTTTGATATGACGAGTACTAGTCAGAACGAGACTACGGAAGAGACTGGAAGTGCACAGCACACGAAACAAGAACAAGATCAAATCGATTACTGGCTGGCATCATGCAGCCTGTTGTCACCGAATACAACAATTGATGTGGCGAATCTAAAGAGTGGAGATTTCACCGGACCATGGCAAGAGCTAGGGAAGGATACTGCATACTTCGACCCAGCCGATGATAGTGGCGAGGACGGAGTCAGTTCCCAGGAGACTCAACTAGACTTTGAGATGAATGGTAAGTGCTTTCCTCCCCTGTTTTGCAGGTATCTGTTGGGAATTCCAATTGACACAGGTATCATTAGATAGTAACGAGGTCTTGGACGACTCGTCGTCAACGCCAGGGCTTTCATCATCAAGTCTTGACCTCTTGCTTGATGGGAATTTCCCATCAAATCTCATGATTCCGTCAGTTGATCAACCAACCTCCGCCAAGATGCAACCCAGTCGCAAGTCAACTCCAGTGGCTTATACCATGGCAGCGCCTGCAACGAGCCCTCTGACTGCGTTGCTTGAGGGTACAGACCTTTCCGTCAAGAAGAAGAGCGAGTGCCGCTGTTTGAGGCTTGCGGCACATTTACTTGAGCAGCTTGGGAACGAAGGCGCCAACACGGAAACTGCTACCATGGATGTGCTTCTCAATTGCTGCCGAGAAGCGATCAAAGGTTGTGACTCAATCCTGAGTTGCACCCTATGCAAGTCTCGATCAGAAAGCATGATGCTACTCGCCATGGCTGGACAATATCTCAGCAACATCTGCGAAAAGACAGTCCGCTCCTACGTGGACGTTGTTCAGAAACTGCAGTCGGGTAATTCTCAGCTTGCCGGAGATTCAATGTGGTTCCAGTCATACAAAATTGAGAGCCCAGTGGAGAGGAACCAGGTTCTGAAGTGTCTCGTCACCGGACAGCTCACCGAGTTTTGCCAACTCATCGAAAAAATCAAAGCTAGGGTGGGGACGAGAAAGGCGCACTTGGCGCCGTTACTGGGAGCGGAGAGAAAGATTCAATGCATGAGGACTATGTTGATGCAGTGTGAAAGTTACCGGACTAATGTATGAAGCTGCCTATATGTAAGGTGAAGCAGGTAACAAACATGAATAGGTAACAATCGGATGATTAGGTCACTTCAACGTTCGCTACTGCAGTGCTCAAGGTAGAATAACTCGGAAGTCTACCGGCGGAGGCAAGGCTATCCAGACAAAAGAGTTGGCCTCCCGAGTTTAATAAGAATGTGCGAGACTCCCGTTAGTTCGTCTTCAACCCCCTCCCAGTCGTCTGCCCTAGCCAAGGACTCAGACGCGGACAGGGGTCGGGACTGTGTTCAGATGCCCCGGCCGGATGGTAAAGTTCTTGTTTGCAGGCTTCCACATGATTGCGAGCTGCGGAATTAAGGGTCACAACGTATCGTTTGTGGACATTGTTGGCGAGCTTCGATAGCATGATATCCATCCCATCGGCGGGCAGGTGAATGGCACGTTTTCATGCCGTCTAGCTTCGCGTCGTAATCACATTCTTATCCCGCCGGCAGCGGGGTCTGCTGGATTCAACATTTCCATCATACGACATGCCAACACATGCAATGGGATTGAATAATGTGCCATGAAGCTCAATTGGTATGTATTCTCTGCGGAAAAACGACAGGAAACCCTATGTGGTCTTGACTAGGCTTGAAACATAGCGGCTCTTTTCTCCGATCTTTTCAGCCAGAACGCTTAAGCTCGGGCTGTGCAACACGTCAAAAATGCTTGTCGTTTCGGCGCCCGCGCTAGACACGAGCCAATTGCGCAATTCCACAGCGATGAGCGAGTCAACGCCGTACCTGGAAACGGGGTGCTTCTTGTCGATCTCGGCAGCATCCAACCCAAACATTTCAGACAGCTTCGATATCACAGCGTCCAATATGAGTGCCACCGCGCCTGTGCCGCTGGTTGCTGACCGCAACGAGTCAGACAGCCGCGTTGCTGCCCCCCCTTTGTGGTCTGTTCGTCCCCGAGTGCCGCTCTGGTTGCTGTGGTTGGCACGAAGAGACGAGAACCGTGTGTCGTTTACCCAGGCGACTGTGGAAGTCTCATCAAACTCGAGAATGCCCGTGATAAGCTGACTAAGGTCGACAGGCCGACAAGGCTTCTGGATAGCTGTCTCAATGATCTTGAGTAGATTAGCCTCATCGATATCAGCTAGGCCGGTCTTGGTCAGGCGTTCTGCAACTCCCTCAGTGTTGGCAACGAACCCGACCTCTTGGATACTGGCCAAATCGATTGAGACTCCAGGAAGGCCCTTCGATGTGCGGTACCTCGCAAAAGCATCTTGGAATGTTCCTCCGGCCGAGTAATTTGCTTGACTGGTGTTACCTCCGAGTCCTGTCAGGGACGAAAGTAAGATAAAAAAGTCAAGGTCCGGAAGGTGATTATGCATATTCCACGTGGCTGCAATCTTAGGGCCTGTTGCAGCTTGCCATTGTTCGTATGTCATGTTGGGGAAAATAGAGTCCTGGAAGGTGTTGAGTTAATATTCTGACTTTTTACAGGAGGGTTGCTATGCAGGCTCACATTCAAAGTCATAGCAGCTTGAATGACCCCCCGAACGGGTGGGAAGCTTCCACTAGCTTCGTGAACAACTCGACGGAAATCGTCTTCGTTAGAGACATCGCAATTCCGAACAATGGCTCTGCAGCCATTCGTCTCAAGTTCAGAGATTAGAGCCGCGCATCCTGGATGCGTACGCGCGTTGCGGGAGAGGATGATGAGGTTCTTGCAGCCAAGGTCCCGAGACATCCAGCGCGCAATAGATTGACCGATGCCACCCATACCACCGGCGATGAGGTAAGATGCGTTTTCCAATAGACGAGCTGGGTTTGAGGAGGGAATGACCTATTTTGAAGATTAGCAAATGTTCAAGGACGGCTGAGTGAGTCTCTTACCTTCACTAGATGTGTCTGTTGTGGTTGGACTACGATCTTCCCAAGGTGTTTGCCGCTCTGCAACAATCGGAAAGCCTTGCCAACTTCTGAAATAGGGAAGGTGGTCATGGGAGAAACTACAGATAAATCTCCTCGTCTAAACATCTCCATGACACCCTGGAGAGCATTCTGAACAACGTGACCTTTGAATTTACCCAGCTGGAATAGGTCGACTGCGGCAAAGGTGGCTGCGCGCCGGAAGGGGCTCATGTCTAGGTTCTTGGCCGCTTCTATGTCTGTCTTCCCAATCTCGATGAAACGACCAAACCTCGCCATGCAGTTCCAAGTCTCTTTGAGCAACGGCCCAGCAAGGGAGTTCAGCACAACATCGACACCTTTGCCGTCTGTGGCAGCCATCAGAGCAGTACCAAAAGACGTGTCTCTGCTGGAGAAAATGTGGTCTTGCGGAATGCCAAACCTTTTCATGACAAAGTCGCGTTTGGCCTCGGTTCCAACCGTGGCGAAAACTTCAGCGCCTCGTTGTTTGGCGAGCATCACAGCAGCCTGGCCAACACCTCCCGTCGCTGCATGAATCAAGACGGATTCTCCCTTCGAAAGTCGGCCGATATCGAAGAGCCCATGATACGCCGTGGCAAAAACCATAGGGATTGTCGCCGCTTCTTCGAACGACATGCTGTCGGGAACACGAGCAGCACAGGGCCAGTTGATATAGACTCTTGAAGCCCAATGTCCGCGCAGGATGGCACAGACTCGGTCCCCAATCTTCAAGCCGCTGTTATGCTCTGCCTCTGGGCCCATCCTGGTAATGATGCCACTGCATTCATAACCCATGATGGTTTCGTCGAGTTGACCAAGTGCTACTAACACATCTCTAAAGTTGAGACCAAATGCGCGAGGCTTGATCTCAATTTGGTCCGCTTTCAAGTCTTGAAGTTCGATCTGCCTGAAGCGCAGAGAGTCTAGGAGGCCAGGCGTACCAACTTCCATTTGCAGATTCGAGCCTTCATCGGTGGTGCCAAATGGTCTGAGTGCAGGCTCTTGCTCAGCGGATTCGGGCGCCAATGCCATATTCTCCGGGTCGTCATGATAGATACGCGGTATATACAGAATGGAGTCCTTTACTGCGAATTCGCAATCGATATTGTACGAGCTGGGAGAAAAGTCAAAAGAGGATTTGAAGACATCCCCAATCAGCTCAGCATTCTTTCCAGACCACAGGGGCTCAGTGCTCTCGAGATCGAGGGAGATATATCGGCGTCCCGCATCCTCCATCCTAAGGGTGCGAAGTAGTCCAGAGTGCAAAGCCATGTCAGGATCAGCACCGTCGATAAGGCTACCTCTTGTAACCCACAGTACGCCTCGAGCGGCTGTCAAGAGACTCTGAATACAAGTGAAGTCTTCACGGCTTAGCCGCCTTAGGAGGGGGGCGACTGCCTCTTCAAGCATGATGCAGACTTTCTCGGTAGCATCGACTGATCTCCAGTCAGTGGTTTTGCAACTGGCGCCGGTCCTGGACTGAACTTGACACTCTAGGTCCCGTATCCAATTGGCAGGGACTAATTCGGCTGGGCTCAGTATGAGGACTTCAGAAGGAAACGTCGCTGGTGCGATCGCAGTTGAAGTCATGACACTGAAGGAGTAATTTGCAGGATCTTCCATGTCCCTCATGTCCAAGTCAACTCCACTGAAGCCAGTGTTTGCAAGAACCCGTCCCCAGTGATCGAGAGTGAGGTTAGGTCCACCCTTGCGCTCAGCTTCTTCAGCTAGCCACCAGCCAGGAAGTGCTCCAAAAATCAGTTGTACATCCAGCGTGTCTTTCGTAGTCTCAACAAGGATGAGCTGTCCGCCCTTCTTAAGGAGTTTTCGAACATTCCTCATTGTCTTCTCCATATTCTTGGTAGCGTGGAGAACCTGACATGCGACGATGAGATCATACGAGCATGGCTCGAAGGATTGCTCCACGGGATCAACTTCGATGTCAAGTTTCCGGAATGTGATCATATCTCCAAAGTCTTCAAACTTCTTCGCCACAGCTTCGAAAAATCCCGCAGAGACATCGGTGAACGTGTATGATGAGAAGCGGCGTCGGTGATCAGGGGTGTTTTCAGACAAGCCGTTGAGTACTGATCGCGTGCATCCACCGGTGCCTCCTCCAACCTCGAGAACTTTGGCACGTGGGTGCTTCATTGAGTAGATGTGCACTAATTTTTGCACCTGCTCATAAGACCTGTTGCATCTGAGGGCCTTCTCGTAGAAATCATACAGCAGATTGCCTTCCATCATCACTTCTAATGGAGCCACTTGCTTTCTGAGAATGCGAGATAAGTTCTTTCCTACGCGGCATAGAAGACGTCCATTCACGCTCTGGGCAGCAACTTCATCGAAGAGCATGTGTCGCATGCCTTGGCTTGCTTTGGCCCATGAAGCGCTTCCGGGAGCGAGCGTTCCATCAAGTCCGGCTTTGTAGTTGAGTTTCATCCAATTGTAAAGCGACTTGTGATACCACTCCATATTTGTGATGGGAGTCTTGTCGGAACCCAAATCTTGAATGGCATCTTCTATAAAATACCACGCTGCTTTAACGAGCCTCTTGTTGACTGACAGCTCGGATGGATCAACATCGAATCTGAGTTCCTCCCTCAGCTGAGCCATTGGCATGAGAGAAAAGTCAGGATGCCAATGCATCTTGAATATTAGATTAGACGGCTGTTGGTTTTGCATATTCTGACCTCCACCGGCCACTGCCTGGCAAAAGAGGCCCTTCACTTCCAAACTCGTAGCTTCCGGGTTCTTGTGATCATGAGTCATTATTGAAGACCGAAAGCCCGACTTATCGCAACCATCAATTGTTGCAAACGACTCGAGCTTGGAATTTGGAGTCGACACGATGGACTGCGAAACGTATATGTGCTGGATGGCTCGAGGCATCACCATCGAAGTCTCGAATTCCTTGGGAGAGAGTGCAGAGTAAGCTCCTTGGAAGATTGAGTCCAGTGTGGTAGGGTGGAGAAGGTGACTGCTTGAGGAGTTGACGTCCGCTACCTTGAACTGGAACTTCGACCGAGAGTCGCTGGCTTGAATGCCAAGCATATTCTGAAATTTTGGGCCGTGTTGCAGCCCCATCTTCCTCAGCCGGGCAAACAAATCCTCAACTTTCACACTACAGGTATAAGCAAGGTCCATGCTGCCTTGCCTGGGAACGCTTTCTGAAAGCACAGCAGCCGTCAAGGTAGCCCTCGACTTCAGTTTCTGAGAGATATAGCCGTGTATATGCTGAGTCCACGAGTTCCCGCCGCTGCTCGGTGATTCCAGAGAGAACTCATACCACCCGGGCTCCAGATTCTTGTCATCGCAGGGGTGCAGAGACAGCTGGACCTCAATTCCGTCTTCTGTATCCGGGATAACCAAGGCATTGCTGATCTCAATATCTCTCAGACAGTAACCGTCTACAGTCTCAATTGGAACTTCAGAATATTGTCGCAGGGCTTCTATCGCCATGGAGATTCCGCCGGCTCCTGGGTAAACGATATCAGACTGGACTAGATGATCCCGAAGCCAAGGGAGCTCATTCGCTTTGAGGAAATGCCTCCACATGGGAGTAGTGGAGGAAGGGCCTGGCAACATAGACCCGAGTAGCTCATGGCGAACATGCCCCCTCATGCGATGAGCGATATTCACCCGCGATTCTTGCCAGAAGCTGGTGGTATGGTTCCAAGGATATGAAGGGAGGTCCGAAATGACTCGTAGACTGGTGGAATCCTGCTGACAATTGACGGCAGAGAGATTAACTGGATACCCCTTGCACCACAAAGCTCCAGCAGCCATTTGCATAGACACTGCAGCGTTCTGGCCTCTAACCAAGCCCGATACATAAGGCAGAGTGAGCCCCTTCATGACAGGCAGTTTGCAGATCTGCCGAATCGGTCCCGCAAGCGCCGAGTGTGGACCAAGTTCGAAGATGAAGTCCACATTTGCCTCTTGTCTAGTACTTGAAACACACATCTTCTCGAATGACTGAGAGAACAAGACCGGCCACAACAGGTTATTCACCCAGTGCTGTGGACGACCCAGATCTTCCGGATTCTCGATCAAATTGCCCGTGACGGGCGAAGAGTAAACAAGCTTTTGCCATTTGAGCTTCGGCTGAAGGATGTTCTGTAGCTTCTGGAGATATTCTTCCGCCATAGGAATCATGTGATGAGAGTGATAGGCAGACTTGACCTTCAGTGCGCGCGCGAAAATCTGATCCTTGGAGAATTGCTTCTCAAGACGCTGGATGGCATCTAGATCTCCAGAAAGAGTCACACTCGATGGGCTGTTAACACAAGCCACGGTAACGGTGCCCTTTGTAACATCATTCTTCGCGAGGTAGGCCCAAGCATCATCGACACCGAGACCAACTGCCATCATGCCTCCCGGACCAGTGGAAGCATGATGATATTTCTCCGTTAAGACACCACGGAAATAAGCAACACCCAGAGCCTCTTCAAACGTCAGCGCACCGGCGGCATAGGCTGCTGCAATCTCGCCACTCGAGTGACTGGTGACGGCGCTGGGCTGAATTCCCCATGACTCCAGAAGGTCAACTAGACAGATCTGAAGAGCAACGCAGATGGGCTGGCTCAAACGAGGTTCGTTGACGCGGGTAGATATTTCGTCCCGCTGAAGCTCTTCCACAAGGGACCAGTCTGCACCGTAGTCTCCCAAAACGACATCTGCGTGAAGAAGAGCCTTTCTGAAGACCGCGTAGACTGAGATGAGTTCGCGACCCATGGCGTGCCATTGAGCTCCTTGTCCATTGAAGACAAAGCCGACGCGAGGAGGGTCCTTAGCAAGAGTCACAGCCTTCTTGACTGGGTCCCCAAGAGCTTCCACCAAGCTTGCCGCGCAGTCGGTGCTCGATATAGCGACTCGCCACGGAAAATGCGACCGACGAGCTTGGAGAGTGTGTGCTAAGTTGTCAAGATCAAGCTTTTGGCCCGACCCTGTCCGAGTCTCTAGGTAGCTCTTGAGATTATTGGCCATCTGTGCAGTAACATTGCAATCCTTGCTACTCATGACAATGAGACGAGGCTCGGTTTTCTTCATCGCTATCGAAGGACATGGATCGATGTGCTCACTAGCACTATCGATAATCACATGCCCGTTGGTTCCTCCGTAACCGTAGTTGTTGACTGAAACACGCCGCGGCGTTCCCCGTGGCCAGTCCTGTGCTTTGAGTGGGACCTCTACCCCGAGTGACTTCATATCGATGTTTGGGTTGGCTTTTTCGTAATTCAGATTTGGCGGAATCATCTCGTTCTTAAGCATCATGATAGCTTTGATAACTCCTGCGATGCCGCTGGACGCCTCCAAGTGACCCAAGTTCGTCTTGACAGACCCGACCAGCACGGGATTGCTGATAGAGCGTCCTTTGCTGAATATGCGGCTGATAGCAGCAGCCTCAATGGGATCGCCGGTTGGGGTGCCTGTCATATGTGCCTCGACGTACACTGTCTGAGAAGGATCGAGCCCGGCTCTTCGGTAGCATGCTTGTATCAACTCCTCTTGAGCCTCGGAAGATGGCGACGTGATGGTAGGTGTTTTGCCGTCCTGGTTGATTGCAGTTTCTCGAATGACGGCTTGAACAGAATCTCCATCAGCGAGTGCATCTCGGAGCGGCTTGAGGAGAAGTGTTGCAATGCCTTCTCCCCTGCCATAGCCGTTTGCCCGACTATCCCAAGCGAAGCATCGGCCATCAGCACCGAGAACTCTACCACAGAAGTCAGTCTTTATAGTTCGTCCTCTATGTTTTTAAAAGCTCACCCTAAGCCTGACATAACTATGAATGGATCAGGGTTCAGCAGAAGATTGGAGGCGCCCACGATGGCCATTCGGGACTCTCCATTCCGAATGCTGTTCACAGCAAGGTGCAAAGCCGCTAAACTTGCTGAGCATCCAGTGTCTGTGGTGAGGCTTGGGCCACGAAGATCAAAGAAATGAGAAATCCTGTTTGACATCATCGCGACACCATTGCCCGTCAAAGTGGTTCTTGGTAGTGTGTCCGGGTCACGCAAGAGACTGTCATGGTAATCCCTGGAGAAGGAACCGACGAAAACCGAGGTGTCGCTTCCCGTCAGCTGTTGTAAAGTTACACCCGCTATGCGATTTTTGATTAGCATCAAGATTTTGGTGCACCACATACTCTTCTTACCATTTTCAACCGATTCGAAAACGGACTCAAGAAGCAAACGAATTTGTGGATCCATCGCCTACAACTTCGTTAGCGCCGCGCAAACCCCACGATGTATTATCTTTTGAAGAGACTTACGTTGGCAATTTCAGCGGTAAAATTGAAAAAGGACGCATCGAATCGAGAGACATCGTCTTTGAGAAAATGGCCGCCGCCCACATTTGACTAACGCCAGATTCGTCAGTTTCAATGATCACAATGAAGAATTCTGATGTGGGTCTTTACCATTCCAATCTTAGCATGGTCTTTGTCATGAAAAGCATCGGCATTGAATCTCGACTTTGGTATTGGAGACCAGCCGTCTTTTCCCTCAACCACGAGTTGCCATAGCTTCTCAGGAGTTGTCGCGTCTCCAGAGAACTTGCAACTCATCCCAATGACTGCAATTGGCTCTACATGTCCTCCTCTGGGCGACTGCATGCTCTCCACTGGGAAACTAAGCTCAGAGGAAGAGGCACAATGACTCATGTACGGTGCCATTATGAACGTCTTGGGTGGAATACCGCAAATATTTCGTCTTACACACGGGTCAAAAGTTGAAGTTACTTGAAGAGATACGGAGGAACTGATTTGAAGTGGGTATCCTGTTTGATAGACAGAGTGACTAAGTTGGGTGATGCATCAAATCGGTCTCAATTCTCAGAGGGTCTCTAAGCCTGGTCTTGATTCTATTGAGCCAAGACATAGGCTGGGCCATGTACATCTGCCAGCCTGCAAAGACAGCTAGTTCGGTCTCAATGATTGACCATGACGACCGGATTTGACCAAAATGGCTATGCCGACTAAATAAACAATCAACGTCTCTCTTTTTGTTCTTATTGCTCGGTATCGCGATCAGAGTTTAGACTCTAGCGCTATATCTCATGACCTATATGCAACCTAAAAATGACAGATCCGCGAAGGTTCGGCGGCACATGTGGGATAGCCCTAGAACAGTTGCTGCACGACGGAAAGCTACGAATTAAGACCAAAAAACCCTAAGGGGCAGGTGTATCGGGAAAAACGACCGGGTTATAGCGTTGTAGCGGTTGACGCAGTGGCCTGTTCTTCACGACTCATGGCGCGCCGACGGGAGCGTGACCTTGGACGGAGAGAGTTGGCATTGACACGCAGCTGTAACCATCACCGGCACTACCTCGAGCTGGAAGAACCTTGAGACATCATCTCAATTTGTAAGCTATGGCTTTTCAGTGACTGGATCTGCCTCTGCGTGGGTGCCTTGGTACCTGAAAGCATTTGTTGTCAGCTTGTAGCACGATTAGATCAAAGAGAGAAGTCTCTCTGTTCTAGGCAGAACCTCTTTGATAACCTTAGACTAGCTCATTTCACTATCAGCTTTTCGCAGCGTTGCAATCGAAGCAACTCTCTTACGCAATTTGGTGTAACCACAAGTGCAGCAATACGACCGACGTTCAATATGCCTTCGACGGAAAATTCATCGAAATGGGCCAAGATGGGACGCGGGAAGTCCATCCTCAAGTCTGATGAGCCCACAGTGACTGAACAGCCCACTCCTCAAAGTCCCACCCCTGAGCCTGATGTTTATGGACCGACTGGCTTGAAGTTGGGTGCTATCACTCTTGGACTCTGCCTTACACTCTTCCTAGTGGGGCTGGTAAGATTCATCCATCAAAGGCAAGACCTTCAGGCTCGAGCTTACACAATATTTGACAGGACAACATTATCATATCGACAGCCATCCCGCGTATAACAGATGAGTTCCGATCTATAAACGACATTGGTTGGTACGGAAGTGCCTATCTTCTTACAACTTGCACCTTCCAACTCACCTTTGGCAAACTGTACTCTCTTTTCTCTATCAAGTTGATCTACCTGATCTCTATCATCATCTTCGAAATCGGGTCAGCTATATGTGGCGCTGCTCCCCAGTCTGTGGTTCTAATTTTGGGCCGAGCGATCGCTGGTGTTGGATGCGCAGGTATTCTGGCTGGAACCTTTACGATCATTGCCGTGATCATTCCGTTACCCAAGAGACCTGCGTATACTGGCCTGGTCGGGGCAGTATACGCCATTGCATCGGTGGTTGGGCCGCTGCTTGGGGGAGCCTTTACCGATAAGGTGACGTGGCGTTGGTGTGTAAGTCATTTACCTGTCCAACCCGAAACCTTTTTTCAAAATTCATAACCTGACGATGAAAAGTTTTACATCAACCTACCAATTGGGGCTGTCGCCTTCGTCATCATGATCTTCCTTTTCCAATCACCTCCTCGGCCTCACAATGGGGATAAGAAAACTCTATTAGAGAAGGTTATGCAAGTCGATCCCATTGGTACACTCGCTCTGATGCCTGCCGTCATCTGCCTGCTTCTCGCGCTGCAGTGGGGCGGGACTGTCTACCCATGGAGCAACCCCAGAGTCATTGTCCTTTTCGTTCTATTTGGCGTGCTGTCAATTGCATTTGTTTTCATTCAGACCAAGAATGGTAAAAATGCCACACTTCCCATCAAAGTTATCTCTCAGCGTAGTGTGGCCGCAGCTTGTTGGTTCTCGGTCTGCACTGCCGGGGCCGACTTCACGCTGAGGCAGTACATTCCGATCTGGTTCCAAGCCATCAAGGGTGTTTCTGCCGTAGACTCGGGTCTCATGAACTTGGCCCTGATTCTTTCCACAGCTCTAGCGTCGATTGTTAGCGGAGTGGGCATCACACAGATGGGGTACTACAACCCTTTCATGATTGCTTCGACCCTTTTCATGTCAGTTGGATCCGGTCTTCTCACTACGTGGAAAGCAGACATTCCAACTCGGGACTGGATTGGGTATCAAATTCTCTATGGTCTTGGATCCGGCCAGAGCATGCAGACTCCTCTGATGGTAGTTCAAACCGTCTTGCCAATGGAGGAGATACCGCTTGGAACTGCTCTCGTCATGTTCTTGCAGACTTTTGGCGGCGCCATTTTCATCTCCGTCGCCCAAAACGTCTTTACCAACGAGCTTCGGGCTGGCTTGGCGAATGAGCTACCGAACATCAACGTTACTGCTATTGTCGACGGTGGGGCAAACAGCATCAGACAACCGGGAGTGCTGCCACCAAATACTCTTGATTCCGTCCTGCGCATCTATAGCAAGTCTCTTACCAATTCGTGGTATGTTGCTGTTGGGCTAGCGTGTGCAAGTATCGCAGGAAGCGCCCTGGTGCAGTGGAAGACTGTGAAGCAGCCAAGCCCTCCACTTGCCGGGGATGAAAATGGGGACAAATCCTCCAAAAGCGAGGTGACTGATAACATGGAGATGAAGCACCAAGATCTCAGCCCGACCGAGTCTGAGAGAAACGACGTTTTCAATAAGCGTAACGACACCATCTGAGTACAGCATGGATCCATGTCGGGGATACACAAAGATTGGTACTATTAGAACAGAGCCGCAGCCATGTAGTTATCATCCAGATAAGTAAGGTACTTTAGCTAAGTACCAAAGTGGGGAGCTTCTGAAAATCGAAGTTCTGGGGATTAGACTGGCTTTTATGCATTTCGGTTTGTCAACGTGAAATACAAACAGCAAGCAGAGTAAGGGCAGCTTTCTCAGACAAGAACAAAAAGTCTTTTCGAAATTTGAGTAGGACCACCGAATCCACAGGCTATGACTTGCATTTAAGGAGTACAACAATCTTTTATGCGGCGGGGCGTGTGGGACTGGTCACTGGAAGGCCTCCGGAAGTGCCTATGAATTAACAACTTTTGCACCTAGATCTGTAAAGTGGGAGGGGAGACTCATTGGGCTGAAGAGAGAATGTATACGCAGCGCCAAATAAAAGATGTAATTGGCCCAAGTACCTAGACTAGGCATGTCCAAATCTCATGTGATCGCTATGGCCTGTTCTTATGCGATAAATCACAAAAATGATGGTGGCTGTCGGTAGTATTGATCCACCGCCCATTCCATAGCCCTCACAACAGCCTTGATTTCAGACTCCTTCTTGGGTGGATGGTGCCCTCCTGAGTGATGTAGCTTCTTAGAAAGCCTGGCATCGCACATCTGGTATCCTATCTCATGCATGTCGTGCATAAAAGGGAAGTCTCGCCTGCCGGACACGTGGACCGTTGGAATATGTATGCGTTCTGAAAGTAACATGGGATGCAGCACACGAGGGACCGTGGCGCCCGCATCCCCGAAGAAATCTTGGTTGAAGTCCGGCAGGACGGCCCCGATTTTCAAAGCAGATTGGAACGTCCGCACTAGACAGTCATTGAAGACTTGCTGCCGAGGTGCGAGATCCTTCGCGTGCATCCCGCTGCGGCGATATGAGCAAAGTTGGTCGATTTCGCTTTCGCAGTATGTCGAGTCTGCCGAGAATGGCACGACGGATGAGAAAAGAATGGCGAACTTGAAGTCGGGCTCTTCGCCGTTGACTTGCTGGTGGTAGATGTACGACAGGGCTAATGATGCACCTTGACTGAAACCTAATATGCCATCGAATGGGCCTAGGTCGTCGACAGTGGTAGCGATTTGGTGATGCGCAGCTTGAATTTCTGAGGGCGAGTATCCTGTTGCGTGAGAGTAGAACGGTCCGCCGAGAGCTGGACTCATGCCTAAGATTCATTCCAGCATTAGCTTCGACTGATCTTGAGTATGCTTGATTCCGAAGTGACGCGCAGGTCATCTTCGAGAAGAATTCCATAGGGCTATCTTGGTGGTGTTCTTACCAGGTCCTCGGTGCGATGGTACAGCTCCATCAACCAACACAAACTCGTAGCTTGCGTCGACTGATCTCATGAAGCCAACGAGCTGGCTCTCTAGGATCTTGGCAGAACTGCCGACACCATGTAATGCTAGAATCCTCATGTTGACATTAGAAGTAATTTCACGAAAAGGGAAGTTTCTGAGTTGCGAAAGCGAAGGGGAAAAGTTACGAAAATCTGCCTCAAAATTTACTTCTTTACTGCCACTATCAACTGTGAATCGGAACTTTTACAGGCCAGGTTACGGCCGTCCTAATCAGGATATTTGTTGACCTCTTCACCGAATCAGGTTGAGCCGAAGGCCCCTTCCCGCGCTGAATATGGTAATCGGCAGGGATATGCTCACAATTGGCTGCCAGTGATGGGCAATGTTACTACTGCAGAGCCAAAAAATTGTTGACTGATACCGGTTGGAATTGCCTCATTATCGATCATTGGGAAGAATTCCAAGCCATCACACAAGTTCCAAACCGCATGTACAATTATTTTTTTACACAGTTTTCCGTATCAGAGTCACTCAAGCAACAGCAAGCAAGCCCATCATGAGCCCGTGCGACGAACAAGAACCGATTGCCATTATTGGCACAGCCTGCCGCCTGCCTGGGGAGGCGACATCGGTGGAAAGACTTTGGGACATGATCAGCCATGGCAGAAGTGCCCATGGAAAGGTGCCCTATTCGCGGTGGGACGCAGATGTGTGGTATCATCCTGACCCTGACCGCAAAGGATCTGTGAGTACCACCAGTCGAAGATCGTATCGCCGACATGGAGTTAACCAGTCAATCACCACAGATCAGTGTGAAGCATGGATACTTTCTCGATCAGGATATTTCCGTCTTTGATGCGCCCTTCTTCTCCATGACTGCTAAAGAGGCAGCTGGAATGGACCCAATGAAAAGACTTTTGCTGGAAGTCAGTTACGAAGCTTTTGAGAATGGTGAGGTCTCTCGAAGGCTTTGGGTCAGTGATCATGAGTAACACTGGATATAGCGGGGATTGCGGTGGGTGATCTGACGCATTCTCAGACGGGGGTCTTCGTTGGCTGTATGACAAGCGACTATGAGCAACTCTCGACACACGATATTCTTGATGTGGGAGATGTAGCGGCATCTGGGATGAGTGAAGCGATGACCGCAAATCGAGTCTCATGGTTTTTTGGACTTCGTGGACCTAGCCTTACACTCGACACAGCCTGCTCATCGAGCTTATACGCGCTGCACTTAGCTTGCCAGTCGCTCAAATTAGGCGAAACTAATATGGTGCGAAAACCCCTAAAGTTGGCGTGGGACAAAACCACTAACTCCATGCTTAGGGCCTGGTCGCTGGCGTTAACTTGATTTTGCACCCAAATTTCATGCACCAACTATCCTCTATGCATATGCTCAGTTCCGAGGGTATGTCACACTCATTCGACCACAGAGCCAACGGTTATGGGCGAGGTGAGGGTATCGCATGTATCGTCGTCAAAAGACTGAGAGATGCATTACGCGACGGCGACACCATTCGAGCCGTCATTCGCGGCACTGGGACCAACGCAGATGGCAAGACACCGGGAATAACACAACCCAGCGCTGAAGCACAGGCCGAACTCATTCGGAGCACCTACGAGAAGGCCGGACTATCATACTCAGATACGCAGTATTTCGAAGCTCACGGCACAGGTACCCCGCTGGGCGTAAGTGAAACAGACGCTATAGAGTCATTAGACAACACTAATCCCATCACAGGACCCCATTGAACTGTCAGCGATTGGCGCAACGCTTGGCTCCGGGCGCTCACCAGAGTCTGGCCCCCTATACGTCGGTAGCATCAAAGCCAATGTGGGACACACCGAAGGCTGCTCAGGCCTCGCTGGAGTTCTAAAATCGATTCTATGCTTGGAAAAGGGTGTCCTTGTGCCAACGGCTGGAGTCGAAAAGGTGAATCCCAAGTTGAAGCTGGCTGAGTGGAAATTGGCTTTGCCTTTGGAAAACATGGCTTGGCCTTCTCAAGGCCAGCGGCGCATCAGTGTCAACTCATTCGGGTTTGGAGGCGCCAACGCCCACGTCATTCTCGATGATGCGTACAATTATTTGAGAAACCGTGGGCTACAAGGAAATCACACTACGAGCGTTTTTGAAGACGATTCTTCCGAGTCTGGCATCAGTATGGGTTCCGACTCACCTCGCCAAGAAAATGTCAAGCGGCTATTTGCTCTCAGTACCCGAGATCAGGCTGCGATAGAACGCCTAGCTGAGTCTTACGGGGATTTCTTGTCGTACAAGGAAGCGACTTCGAGTCCGAGGTTTCTATCTGACTTTGCTTACACACTGTCAGAGCGACGAACTCATCTTGAATTCCGCAGTTTCGTCGTGGCGGAGTCTGCTATAGACCTGCGAAACCAACTCAACAAGGGTCTTACGAAGCCTAAAAGAGCATTGAAACACGACAGCCCGATCTTTGTGTTCACTGGACAAGGCGCCCAGTGGCCCGCGATGGGCAAAGAGCTGCTCAATAACTGCATATTCCGGACGAGCATTCACAGGTCACAAGTCCTTCTCGAGCATTATGGTTGCCCATGGGACTTGATCGACGAATTGTCTCGGACCATCGAATCAAATATTGATCTCCCTCAGTACAGCCAAGTGCTATGCACTGTTCTCCAGATCGCTCTCGTTGATTTACTTCGAGAGTGGGGAGTGAGGCCAAGAGCAGTTGTTGGCCATTCTAGTGGTGAGATTTGTAAGTGAATTAGCTAGCCCGCAAAACTACCAGTCCGGGGCCTACTCACTGACACACCCACCAGGCGCTGCATATGCTGCTGGCCTTCTATCTCGCTGTAATGCGGTAAAGATTGCGTATTTACGAGGCATTTGTTCAGCAAAGGTGACCGATGCTGTTGCACCTCGAGTAGGCGCCATGGCCGCTGCTGGACTATCCGAAGAAGAGGCTGCAAAGTACATTGAACAGGTATCCACAGGGTCAGTTGTGGTAGCTTGCGTCAACAGCCCCTTAAGTGTAACTTTATCGGGCGATCAAGATGCCGTCACGAAGTTGTGCAGCGCCATTTCCGCCGATGGGAGTTTCGCAAGGCTGCTTCGGGTCAAAACAGCATACCATTCACCTCACATGGCAACAGTCGCCCAGGAGTACCACAACAATATGGGCAATATCATCCCTCTGGGAGAGGCCGAACAAATTTGCCCAATGTTCTCATCGCTCACCGGCGGTACCGTCACCTCCAAGGATCTAGATGCGTCGTACTGGATGAAAAATATGTGCGAGCAGGTTCGATTCTCGCCAGCGATTACTGCTTTACTTGAGTACACGCCAGAAACTGCACAGGGTCGGGGTCGCAATCGAATTCAGTGGAGCGCCTTCGTCGAAATCGGCCCTCATGGGGCTTTGCAGAGTCCAGTATCCGAAATTGCAAAGACAAGCCAAAGTAAGACCGCAAAAGAGGCACCATATCTCTCCGCCATTGTCCGCAACAAGGATGCAGAGATGACGGCGCTACAGCTAGCCGGCCAGCTTTGGAGTTCTGGTCACAGCATAAACCTTTTGCGGGTGAATTGCATCTATCCAGAGTCTTTACCACTCTCATTGCCTGACCTACCGTCTTATCCTTGGAATCATAGTAAGAGCTACTGGCATGAGTCCGCAATGGCTCAATCAGCCAGATTCCCAGGTGGTCCTCGCACAGATCTGTTAGGGGTGCCTGTCGACTTGCAAAATCCCATGGAGCCCCGCTGGCGCAACTATCTCCGCATTTCTGAGAACCCGTGGATTGAAGACCACAAAATTACTGGGACCGTGCTTTACCCTGCGGCTGGCATGATTGTAATGGCCTTGGAAGCTGCTTGCCAATTACAAGACGACTCGAGGAAACTCAAGGGCATCGAATTCCAGAACATCAAATTTGAGCGTGGTCTCGTCGTACCCTCAAGAGAACAAGGTGTCCAGACGGAAGTCAGCCTCAGACCAGACGAAGCGTTTCCATCCACGTGGAAATTCGCTGTTTACTCTTTGCCATCGAAAGGCTCGTGGACCAAGCACTGTCATGGGACGGTGAGCCTGGAGTACGCAAATGCCGAGCATAATTCTGCAGCACCCTCGGAAGAGAAATGGAGAGTTTTGACTCGCGATTGGAACGACATCAAGCACAAAGCCTCCCACGGAATTGAAATGGAAGACTTCTACGACCAGCTCGAGTCTGTTGGAGTAGAGTACGGGCCAACTTTCAGGAATGTGTTTGAAGCGGGTGCAGTCACCGGCGAGCACTGCGCCCACGGACGTATCAGTATCCCAGACACCAAGTCTGCCATGCCCTTCGACTTTGAGTACCCCCATCTGATACACCCGGCAACCATGGATGCCATCTTTCATCTTCTCTTCGTTGCATTTTCCGATGGCAAGCCCCTTCAAGACGCTGCGGTGCCTTACACATTGAAGCAAATGTATATTGCTGCAGATTTACCTCGGGGCGAGGGTGGTGTGTTCAGTGGTTACGCCAAGCGTCTCCGAAGCGACGGCCGTGAGACGTCTGGTGACTTGATTGTGTCTGATGAGACCTGGAGCACTCCGAAGTTGATCATCCGCGACTTTGCGTTGAGACAGGTAACATCTTCACAAGACTCTTCGTCTTCAAGCGTCAAAAATGCGAGAAAGGTTTGCGCGAAACTGAGATGGAAGGAGGACGTCGACTTCGTTCGTTCTCCTACATCTCTTCTTGATTCGGATCAGATTCGTTGCAGCAAAGTCGAGCTTGCTTATGATGATGAGATCTTGAGGGGTCTCGCAAGGTTGCTTGATATGTTGCATCATAAGAGGCCAGGCTACGAGATGCTTGTCGTCATGCGAGATGCTTCGGATGATACTCGCATTTTCATGAAAGCTGTACTCGAAATCTTTGAGAGGTTTTCACGCAGAGAGGAGAGGAAACTTCACATCTTAACGACTTCAGAGGCGGCTGAAAATCTCGCCGAAGAATTATCATCCACCCAAAATGGACTGTCAGAGATTCGGAGCTGGAACCCGAAGTCCCAGGAGCAACCGTCATTCTCGAATGATTGTTTTGACTTGATTGTGAGCATAAGGTCATCGCAACCTAGCGATATCTCCTTTGGCCACACGATACTACCCGCACTGCGAGATCTTATACGATCAACGGGCTATCTCTGCTTGGCGGGTTTGAATGACCTCAGCCCAATACTAAGTCATGATGATAAGTTAACGATCCTCAGAGCAAGAATGGAGCCAGGAATGTTCTTGTCGGATACAAATAGCAAAATGACACTCGTTGTCGCAAAGAAGCCGAAATTGCCGCCGCCTGACTCTTTACCATCTGAGGTCTTCTTGCTGCACACGCCAGATCTCACTGCAGCAAGCAAGCGTCTTGTGGACACTTTGACTGACAAGTTGAAGTCGTTTGGCCTGAGAGTTGCCTTGGCATCAATGTCAGACCTGGATCGGTTCAAAGGGAAATACATCATCTCTCTACTGGAGGTCGATTCACCCCTTGTACACGGCTGGGACGCACAGGACTTTGTGAACTTCAAGCGTCTGGTTTCCAATTGCTCTCACATACTCTGGATCACCCGTGGTGGTCTCATGCAGGATTGGAAAGATGGGCTGGAGTTCGCACCAACTCAAGGCCTACTCAGGGTCATGCGTACAGAATATTCCCAAGTCAAGTTGCCACATCTTGATTTGTCCAGAGCCAGTATCCTGAGCGCGAGTAACACTGCTAGTATCATTTCTGATGTCTGGTGCAATTCTGCACAAGCGGGGTCCGCCCAGCATGACATGGAATATGCGGAATGCGATGGTAGAGTGTTCGTACCGAGGTTCGTCGAAGACAAGAGCATGGACGCAGATTTGCAAAATTCAGAAAGAACTCTCGAATCGGTGAAGGGAACTTTGAGCAATAGAAAGGATTTGAGGCTGATTCGAGAGGGCAGCGAATTTGTTTGGGTTAATGAGTCGGAGCTATCTACGCCTATTCTCGACGGCGATGTTGAGATTACCGTTGAGCTCGCGCTTGTACAGGCCACACCGGTGTCTGAAGACCCCCTTGGTACTCCAGTTTGCTCTGCGATTGTTGGAACGGTTTCCGCGACATCGTCTTTGGAGATGACTACGAAAGTTGGACAACGTGTCATCGCAATTCATTCAGGGCCATGCAGCACTAGCGTTCACGTTCCCGAGTCGTTTGTTCGAACCATATCTTCATGCCTGCCGCCCGAAGAAGTTTTGGCAACGCACTACGCATTCTTTGCCACAGGTTTCGCGTTAATAGAGACCGCGAGACTCGAGAGTGGCCAGACCATTCTCATACGTGGCGGCGACTCGCTGTTAGGCAGAGCCGCGATCCGACGAGCACAGCGAATCAAAGCAGAAGTCTTTGTTACTATGAAGACTTCCAACGCAGCAGAACTCTCTTCAACAGAGATTGTGTTTGATCATAGTCACGTTATTGATGACGATTGTCGTTCTTGCGTGGATGAGATCCTGCGTCAGACTCAGAATCGGGGAGTAGATGTTATACTCAACTGTCAAACTGCACAAATAGACCCTAATTGGGTTGACTGTCTATGCGACTTCGGAACTTTCATCAAAATGGGGCCCAGAGGATCTGGAATCGCTTCCAGTTTGGTTGCATCTCGCCGCAACGCCACTTTTGTGAGTGTGGACGTATCTCCTCTCGTCAAAGCAAAGCCGAAGCTTGCCAAACGCTTCTTTGACGAGACTTGCGAACTTCTTGAGACTGAAGACTTGATTCAACCGGATCCTGGATCCCTCAAATCGGTTTCTGATATTGATCACATTATGTCTCGGGTTGACGATGGTAAAGCAACCAGCGAAATAATTCTGGAGTTTAACCCCCACGACCAAGTTCTCATGCGTCCTGCCAAATTGCCCGAGCTGCGACTAGACAAGCAAGGAACTTATATTCTTGCTGGGGGTCTCGGTGCATTAGGCCTCAAGATTGCGGACATGATGTTCGACCACGGTGCTGGACATGTCGTCTTTCTCTCTCGGTCAGGAGGCGAGAAGAATTCAGCCGACCTGAAGTCCCTCTGTCAACGGGGTCTGGCAGTTGATGCATTAAAATGCGATGTCTCAAGTTCATCTCAAGTTGACGAGGTGGTTCAACATCTTCAGGCCCAAGGCCGGCGTATTCGGGGCGTCATCCAGTGCGCAATGGTGCTTGAAGTAAGTCGTTCCGACGGAGAGATTAGGTATTGGTTCAAAGACACCGTGCTAACATCGGCTTATCAGGACACAATCTTTGAGAACATGACATATGATCAATGGCAAAGGTCAACTCGGCCTAAGATCCAGGGCACAATGAACCTTCATAACTCCACTCCCCGAGACGTGGACTTCTTCATCCTCTTGTCCTCAATAACCTGCGTCATTGGAAACGCCGCGCAAGCAAACTACGCTGCAGGAAACACATTCGAAGATGCATTTGCCCATTTCCGTCGTAGCGAGGGCCTCGCCGCAACCGCAATTGACGTCGGACTTGTCACCGACTCGGCCCATTTCACGGGAGACTTTGATATGGACGCCTATTTCCAGATGTACGAGCATCGGTGGGATGGTTTGCAGACGACTCAGTCAGAACTTGATGCCGTTTTGAAAGCTGCCATGCGAGGCCGGACAGCAGACGGCAAACACATCGAGCCACAAATAGTTCTCGGCCTTGGTCATTCAATGCCCTTTGGTCCTTCATCGGCAGGATGGACCAAGGACCCGAAGTTTAATCACCGGGTCAGACTTGCTTTGGCCAATAGTACAGATCTTTCTAGTAAACAAGAAACTCCCGCGGAACGGCTTGCTCAAGCGAAGAATACTCAGGATGCGGTAAATATTGTGGAAGAAGTCCTGCGAGGCTACGCAGCACAGATCATGGACGTTGGAATGACAGACATTGACACGGAAAAAGCTTTCTATGACTTTGGAGGTATGCTATCACAGGCCTATCTAGCTTTTTCCCGAGATAGATTATTAATTATGCTGACATACCACCTAGTTGATTCACTCAAGGCCGTCGAGCTCCGGAATCGGATCTTCCGTGACGTGCAGAGCGATATATCAGTATTTGAGTTGTTGAGCCCTTCGCCTCTGTCCAAGTTGGCGATAGACATCTTGGGGAAAAGCAAGTTTACGAAGGACAAGTAGAGGATTGAGTTCATGAAAGAAAGGCCCCAGGCAATCGAGATCCCCATTTACCCCAAGCCACATCATTGAGGAACAGAGAATAATTTACTGGGATTCATAGGGAAACTGCTTGCTCGATGAATTGATATGATTCCATATGTCTTGATTGATCAGATATCTTACGCAGGTGATACTAGAATTGTAGCAAAGCTCACAGATTTCCCTTCCTACCACAAATTGACCCCCTGTGGCACCCTGAAGTATGTGTGACGGAACGTCGACCAACCCAGCCACTATGCTTCGTAAGCTCTCACCGCCAAGGCAACAGCTAGAACTGCGCCTGGTGACAAAAGGCCACTTGCAAGAGTGAGACCAGCCAATCTTCCGATGAATGAGTTTTGCAGAACTTGGAACCACTTATACTGCCTCCGAAGTCTTTGGAATGAGCGAGATGATCTAAAGATGAGATCCGTCATCGGAACCAAAGCCGCCGTAATGACGAAAATATCCCACTGTAAAAAGTCCCTAGCACCATCAGCAATGACCATAGGAGATGCTAGGTCGATAGAGGCAGTGGGTGTAAAGGTCCGACGTATTCCTCCGTGTTCTGAACACGCCAACGCCCACAGGTGCCCAGCCGCGGCGGTAGCCCCCGAAATGAGCAGAGATGCTGTAACAAAGTTCTTTGAGGCTGGTTGTTTAGACTTCAAGTTGTATGATCTCGGCATTTTACTCTGGACCCAGACGAAGAAAGGATGGGCAAACGCGAGTGCGAGGGGAGTGAAGCGATATAAAGCTATCAGTCTTTGCCTTTGGTCCATTGAACAGGAGGCAGTGAAGGCCGGGTAGAGAAGCATGGCGGGTGTAATTGCTCCTAAAATGGCGGCTGGAACTAGGGCAAATGCTTCTTCAGGATTCGAAGCACCAATCATGTGGTCTTTTGGTTGATTCCTGTGGTCCTCTAGGAACCTTTGGACGTGGGTGAAGCAGTAAAGAGGGTAGACAGCCGCGGCACCCCATGCTTGGTTGAAGACTCCCCAAAATAAGTGCTCACTTGTCAGCAGAAAGGTCAGCATAAATGCATGCGACCGGACACGATCATTTGTTAGTACTCACATGTTCATCCATGGCCGTCTCTTGCCTCCACTCCAACCCAAGACGAGCATGCAATGCGACATCGTCTGCATAGTTGTGAAAAGGCTGACCAGCAGCATACGGTCTGAACGCGACCCATTGCTTAGAATATTGTTGTAAAATATGACCGCTGGAATGAGCAGCTTGTCAAATATTTGGAGGCCGGTATACTTGGTTCGGAGCATGTCGCCGTTGGGAAATACTCCCGTTTGCTTCACCTTCAAAACCTCCCTCGCTACACCGCAGCGAATCATTCGACCCCACAAAGAGTCATATCCCACTAAGCTCAACCCAAGAAAATAAGTATGCATCTTCAAGTTTTGTTTTGCGAGAATTAAGACGAGCTTCGGTGGAGGGCATCCGGGTTTTTGTAGCAAGGGTTATCGGTTGAGCCAAATGCCGACGAGTCAGATCATTTGTAATGTAATCCGGCAGTGGTGGAAGATGTTTCAATATTTAACCTTCCTACAAATGCTAGTCTGCCCCTCAGATACCCGCTCGATTGACTTTGCACACCAAATATGAAGGATACTCCCAGACTTCTTTGTAGTACTCTAACGTCTTCGTGAATCTTCCGTATATGTAGAGGCAACCACTCACCCCTATCATGGTCGAAAGTGCCATTCCCAAGCAGAACCAAGTCCACGCTGAAGAACAAGGTCCTCCATGAAGAATGCCATCTTCTCTACGCGAAGCGTTTCTGTTACGTAGTAGCCAGTGGCCTGATTTCCCAACCACAAATATTACAACAATAGCTGCCATCATTTTGACTATCAAAACAGGCTTCGCCTTTGAAGGCTTCTCAACCTGAACCCGTTGGGCATCCCAAACTGTGGCTAATTGGCTGAGGCTATTCCCATGTTCCTGCAAGACAGGCTTGTCAGCAACGATAACCGCCTACCCATCCCGCTCTTGTGGACTTACATGGTCGAGGAGAACCCCGATTCGGAATCTTTCCAGTGTCTTGTATGCATCCTCCGAATGGCCCACATATTCGAAGCTTTCAGTGCCATCAGATCCCGCAACGTCCTTCAAGACTTCGATGCCCCCAGGATGATCGTCGGCGTAATTAGTAACGTTATACACTAAATGACCCAAAATCAGCCTCATTAGTAGTGAATATTCAACAACTTGCCAACCTTTGCCCCGGACTGATATCCAGAGGTCATCAATTTCGTGATGTTTAGACAAATCTGACCGACTGAATCTCTGCATGATGAGCTATACTGTCAATGGTTCCGCGGAGTGATTTCGGTCAAGTTCGCTCAATAGTAGTCCCTCATCTGGGTCGTTTGCTACACAGCTCTTGACTTTGGTGGCGTTGGTTGGCTCACAGCGATAATTGTCTTCGGCTGTCGCCAGAAATGGTGAAAGCTGCCCAAATCGGGAACGGGGCTACTCAAGCGGGGGTACCTCCGTGAAGTTGTCAATGCGGATAGGTTCAAAATGGTCTCCGGCGTCTCGTTTTGGATCGGTCCTATCAGGAAGTCTCAGGGGTACCCCTGCTGAGTGGAAAGGAGGAACGAAAAAGGGAATGGAACATAGCCTCAACATCTTTGGTAGTCTGTGTATACGCAGGAATTGAGAACATGATGATCTCGAATATCGCAAAAAAAAAATTTAAAATTTTTTTTGATATTGTCCCACGAGTCATCTTGCCATTGCTGGTCCCGTTTCTTTGCAGTGAACCACGTCTTGTGTGCTTGCCATCTCCAACCTCGCATGCAAGACTCAACTGAAGCTCTCCGCAATGTTCCAACAGCAATTCACCATCGGCCATGGCTCCTATGAGCGATGCCAGACATTGAATCTTCCGAGTGTGAAAAGCATGCAAGAACTCAAGCTCGGAATTGCGCGCATATTTTCAATATCTGATTCTGATTGTGAGTCTTCAACCCGGTATTGAATGTCGTGTACGACGGCAAGATAGGAGCTGACTGTCGTGAAGCTATCTGTTTTTACAATCGAAAAGATGTCCTCACTTCTATTGATGAAGTGGAGAAAACTGACGGCCCAGTAAACGTCAGAATGAACGGCGAAATCGTCAGAGAGCCGCCAGGACCAGAGCCATTGCCGTACGTTGGCAACCGTTACGAACTGTACCCAGATCCACTTGGGAACTATGATCGCCTCTTCGATCGGTATGGCCCTGTTATCAAGACCGTTAATATGGGCACGGTGACATACGTCACCAATGATCCCAATGTCTCTCGTGAAGTTCTCCGCGAAGGAGAATACTTTACCAAGACTACATCAGATCCCGGTCATCCGCTGTACTACATGCGAAATAACGAGGCCCTCTTCACTTGCGACAGCGATGCGCCGGAATTCAAGTTAGCACACAAGTTCATCCCACCAAGCTTAACGCCAAAGGCAGTCCGCCACTATACACCAACTGTTATAGCTTGCGTGAAAAGGTCATTCAACGTATTTGACGACCTCGATGAGAAGGAGCTCGCATTCAATGTCTATCATTACACATTCAAGATGGCTGGGGAGATCATCTGGAAGGTCATTCTTGGCATGGATCTGGGTCATTTTGACTCAATTGACACAAAGCCTCATGAGACCATTCGGCTTCTCGGCGAATATCTTTCGCTCATGAAGAAAACATCTTTGCGAGGAAGCTGGTATGGACACCTGCCATTCGGGACGCCAAAGAGACTCAAGCTTGTGAGACAACTGCTATGGGATGGCGTTGCCAAAGGCATTGAGGATTCAGTCAAGTATAGCGGAGATCTGCCGATGAAGGACGCTGCACTACACGCTACCAGCGTCGCTGACTATCTCCGCCGGGCCACCGACGAGAACGGAGAAAAGTTGCCTGAAGAGATCATGCTGAGTAACTGTGTTATCATGATTGGAGCTGGCTTTGTGACGACCTCTTCCCTTCTGGCCTGGCTCATCTACGCTTTGGTCAAATATCCTGGAAACCAGCAGCGTCTGCTCGAAGAACTCGTCAGTTATGGGGCTTCTCCTGATAAGCAGTGGTCCTACGATGAGTTAACCGAGATGCCCTTCCTCGACAAGTTCGTGAAAGAGACGCAGCGAATGCACAATCCGTCTTTCCAAACGGCAAGAAACGCAAAGCAAGATGTCGTACTTCCTGGCGGGTACTTCCTACCCAAGGGTGCCGTCATCATTCCAACTTTCCCTTCTTTACACAAGAATCCAGGATATTGGAACAATCCGACCCGATTTGACCCGGATCGATGGGACACCGACGAGGTGAAGGGTCGGCACAAGATGTCTTACACTCCATTCGCTGCAGGGACAAGGGGGTGTGTTGGGTATAATCTCGCACTTCTTGAGGTGAAGAGTGTCATGGCAAAGTTGGTTTACCGCTATTACTTTGAGGACGCGTCTACTGAAGCTGTGGTGTACGATCCTGAGTTCATTGTCATTCGGCCATTGAATTTCTATGCTAGGGTAGTACGGAGGACGCAGTGGCCCGTAAGTCAGGAGGTATGAAGCCGAGCAGATCTGATTCATTTGCTCTGCCTCTATTCTGATCCAAATTATATCTCAAGCTTGCACTCCTCCACATGCCTGTCACAAGTCGAATTTCACCTAGGCTGTATGGCGGATAGCCTCTAGATCGATCCTATTTTTAATAGAAATTTGCAACCTTCGCCAGTAAGTACTTGGCCCCACAAGAGTCGATGTGAAATGACAAAGTGCCCGGGTTCTCAGTCAGGAACTGAATTTGAGTTCAAACTCAACTGCCTTATTAGGTTGTTCCGGGACAAACTTGGTCAACCCCGACTTCTTCGAAGCCTCCACAATTACAATTGTTGCTGAGGTAATGGAACCCCGACTCGGACGTAGGTACGCTAGGTACCATATTGTACGATAAGCCCGTAGTGAGCCATGGAGATCAGTTTTTTGGATCGTAAGAGAACGGAAATCATTATTTCGTAAGATATACTAGGAGGATCCAACTATCATGGCTACGAATACATACACTACGACGGTCATCCATGCCAAGACTAGCGCAGCGAAAGAGAGCTTGAATGAGATCACTACCCAACTCAGCGTATTCGATCTCATCCCACCAAGAGTGTACATCAAGTTCATCATCTATCTACCTTTGAAACCAGGAATCAGCTTCCAACAGGCATTTTCTCACCTTCAGGCTGGTCTTCACTCAACCTTGCGGCAATTTGCTTTCCTTAACGGTCGCATCTACCCACGCAAGGAGCATGAGAGCGGTTGGAGACCGGGACATATTGTAGTGTCGTACGACCCAGACGGCCCGAACACCACAGAAGAAGCTCCCCGACAGCTCGCTTTTAAGGATCTGTCACAGGTGCTGCCCGACTATGAGGACCTTCGCGACGCAGGATTTGAGTTCTCTGCTTTTGATGATGAGCTCGTTCTGGCCGCCCCCTTCGTGCCAGACTTGACCGGGGGTGCCGACGTATTCTTGGCACAAGCGAACTTCGTCAATGGCGGGTGTATTCTCGCGACAGGATTCCACCATTCCGCTAGCGATGCGACTGGCATGGTCACGGCGATGCGTGCGTGGTCTGAACACTGTAGAAACCTCGCGCAGCCGGACATCAACGTATGCAGCTGGCTGGCCCCGGAGAGTTTCGATCGCACACTTCTGGAGCGGCTGTGGAGTAAGACGCCCGCCAAGCCTGTTGCCGAGATCCCGCGCGATACATGGGGCTTTCTAGGCTTCCAACCGCCGGATGCGGAGGAGGAAACGGCTTCTGCTACGGTCCCGCCCACGGCCCCGCTTCGGACCATGGAGTCTAGCATTTTCTACATCTCTCCGGACAACTTCAACAACTTGAAGAAGGACGTTTTAGATGACTCTCATGACGGTACGGGACTTTCGGCCAATGATGCACTTTTGGCGCTTTTCTGGCGCGCTCTCATGAAAGCGCGATACAAGGCGGCCATCGCAACCGGCCAGCCAGCGCCGACGGACGAAATGTCATACTTGGAATCTCCCGTCGACGGCCGCACAGATTTCGACGCCGAGCTTCCGTCGTCGTATGCTGGGAATCTCGTTGTTGTCAACAAAGTCCCAATGCGGGTGGCCAAGCTCGCGTCGCCGACTACAAGCTTGCGCGATGTCGCCCTGCGCATTCGGGCACAGGCGGCCAAGGTGAATCCAGGCCTTGTGAAGGATGCATTCACCCTCATGCGTGAGGTTCCGGATTACACAAAGCTGAAGCATGCATTCACCCGACTTGATGGCTTTGATGTCATGATCACGTCAGTGTTGCTGCTGCCGCTGGACAAGATCAACTTTGGCGGTCACGTGTTTGGTAATGATGGCAAGCCGGATTCATTGCGACCCTTGATGGATGCTTTCAATGCGAATTTCAGGCTTTGCATGGTGTTGCCGATGAAGAGTCACGGGGGTATCGAGTTGCTTGTTAGCTTATTCGCTGACGAGATGGAGCAATTGTTGGCAGACGAGGAGTTTGCAAAGTATGCTGCATTTTGCTGTCATTAGCCATAATCTTTTCTTTAGTATGAGAATTAAATGCCCCGAAAAAGTTAGGTATTTACAGCAACAACTGTGTCTGTTGCCTGTTCAGTCTTCTCTCCGTTGTCGCCTCCTTGATAACAAGGTGTAGCGCTTCGCGTCGGGTGTCCAGCATTGGCCACTACAGACACACCAATACCTGAGTCTATTCACTAGCGTGACGCTGAGTGAGAGAGTCCCTGTCAAGAAGCACGTGTCTGACCGAGACCAAGCTCGGCAACACCTTATTCGGAGCTGATACAGAAAATATGTCACTGTCCATGTGGTTCACTGCTTCAGACTCAGAGGTGGCCGAGGAACAAACTTAGCAAGCCTTATTATGAGGGGCAATGAATCGTAGTCTCCCGGCAGCTCTCAGTCCGTCCGAAAGCTCAACACCAATCGTCGTCTTACTGCAAACCAAAATCGGTCGCGTGTTCCCACCCACCGCTCTGGGTATATTAGTCGGCTCTCAGCTCTAGTGCCCTTGTACCAATAACAGACCGCCCATTCAGATCCCCGCGAGCGCGACGGGTGGAACACGGTGCCTAGACGCGCTTGCGCGACAACTCACTGATGCGCATCAGCACCTGATCATGGGGTGCATTGGTAGCGCGGCCGTTGCTCTTGCAAAAGAACAGAGAATATTCCATCCGACAGTTTCTGGTCAACGCTCCCGGGGGCCGAAGCGCCCGCTCGTGGCCCAATCCAGTATGAGGCATTTGATGTCTGTTCCTAATCGAGCTAGGGAGTTTTGGGGCTGTGTGGCGCGGAGGCCTGCGTCAAAAACTTTGGATGAGTTCTACATCGCTTGCGAGAGCGGCTATGACGGCAACAGATTAATTGCTGTCCCTAATTTTTCAAAGAATAGCCAAATTCTCTCGAGACTTGCGGCTTTTGAGTATGCATGATATCAGCTTTCGGGTATCTCATGTAAACAAGGTAGTTCGTCCGGCAGTGAATACTGAACATTAATACCGCAGAGAAAAAAGAGGCCGCCCCTTGGGTAAAGTTTTTTTATGACTCCGCCTTTGTGAGGCGGTGCCTGTGATGTCGCTCGAGAACCTGTCTACTCGGTTGGGCGCCGGGCACTCTCTTAGTTTCTCTACCTAGCCCGGTAGTCTCAAAAACCTTCCTATTATTCGTCCTTGCCCTCATCCCATCTTCAAACACGCATCGTCATTGAATTGGTATTTTCGGTGGCTGTTGCATTCTCCGACTCCCGAGAGCGATCAACATCGTCACAGCACAACACTCATCACGGAGTTTTCCTCAAACTGTTGGAATGGTCACCGCTTTCACCAAATCTGACGACCACAAGTCAGTTCCATCATCTCATTACTCTGATCAAATCATCTGCCAGGATATGGCAAAACGTACGAGGGAGCGATACCTACGAGCACACCACTCGAACGTACGGTGAAGGAACACATTGGACAAGATTCAGTGCAGACACTGGGCTCGGCATCAGTACCTCTTCGGCCTTCAAACACATCCAAGGAGAGAGAAAATAACGTCATGTCGCACAAGGAAGACAACAAGTCCATCCGGGGACTCGAAGATGCAACCCTGTTGAGTCCCAACGGAGGCTCTCGGTACGTGGAAAGCATCTCGAGTCCTCGAGGAAGAGAAACCGAACGAGGGCCGGCCCGTGACATTACAAACATGGCCATCTTCGAATCCCCAACCATGCGACCTCTGAGTAGACGTCCTACCATTGAGTCGAGGCGCACGACGTCGCCGCCCAATTCCGTCAAGGCATTCGCCAATGCGCGCCGCAGAGGACAGGATGTCGAAGCGCATGATCCGAGGGCCTCTTCGCGCAGACCCCAGGCCGAGGTTGCGAGCAGCGACGACTATGGCCTTCGAGTGTCTCAACAATATCCCAACAGTGCCAGCCATAGCTTACACAGTCGCAAGGCTCTTGATCGCAGTGCTCACGAAACCTCTTCGCCCGTGCCGAAACCCAAGTCATCTTCCGAGGCCGAGGACACCAAGCTCGACATCATCCAAAAGGATGGCCTCCACATCGACTTTGACTATTTGGAGACGTTGATTGATGCTGAGAATCGCGACCAGTTCGGCAGTTCCGATTTTGTCAATCTTCCGGATAGTTCCATCCCTACCGCCACGCGCATGTTTACCTCTGATGGAGACTTTATCGATGTTGCATCCCAGGCAGCTTCCATTGCGGGAGAGAAGGAGACGACAGCACCCCAGCAAACGCTCCCAAGGGCCAGCCAGCACATTGAGCAAAGCCGCTTCAACTACTTCTCCTCAGCTTTGGAATCAACCATTCATGCGGCGGAGTTTGGCGACCTCGTCCTCCCAGGCGAGAGCATCAGGTCCTTGTTCGAGATGCCCGAGGCAGAGGCCGATGGTGTCTGGTGGCTTAACATGAACAACCCCACTGGTAGCGAGGTCTGGACGATTTGCAAAGCCTTTGGGATCCACCCACTTACCATCGAGGATATCATCCATCAAGAGAGTCGCGAGAAGATTGAACTCTTCCCGCTGTACTACTTCGCCTGCTTCAGGTCGTTCATCGTCGTCGAGGAAGATAATGAGAAGGACTACCATCCGTTCAACGTTTATGCGGTAGTCTTTAAAGAGGGGATACTCAGCTTCAGCTTCGCTGCAAACTCGCATGCATCGAAGGTTCGATTCCGAATTTCGCAGTTGAAGGAGCAAGTTTCTCTCAGCAGCGACTGGATCTGCTACGCGTTGATGTAAGTTAAAGTCGCCTCTGGTATCCACCAAGAAAGTTGCCTCATGTAATGGACCCCATCTGACACCAACACAGCGACGACATTGTGGACTCCTTCGGACCAGCGATCAACGAGATCGAACGCGAGGCCGATGCGATCGAGGACCAGGTGTTCATCACAAGAGTAGATGACAACCAAGTCTTTCTTCGGAAGATCGGATATACCAGAAAGAACGTGATGAGTCTCATGCGCCTACTCGGTGGGAAGGCGGACGTGCTTCGCGCTTTCACCAAGAGATGCACCGAAGATTTCGATGTCACGCCACATATGGACATTGCTCTTTACCTTGGCGATATCCAAGATCACGCGGTGACGATGATGCACAGCCTCGTCCACTTCGACACCATGTTGTCTCGATCGCACAGCAACTATCTAGCGCAGCTCTCCATTGACAACATTGATATGGGCAACCGGACGAATGACTTCTTGAGTCGGGTGACGGTCATCGCCACTGTTATAGTTCCTCTCAATGTTGTCTGTGGTCTTTTCGGCATGAACGTCAAGGTCCCTTGGAAGGATACCGACAACCTTAACGCATTCTTTGGGATCCTAGGCAGCATCATTGCCTTCGCTCTGCTCTCTCTTCTTGTTGCTCGACGTTTCAAATATCTCTGAAGATGACATCGAGTATTTGAATCTGTTTCGTTTCTAATGATACGTAGACTCCATGCGCCGAGAACAAATTTAATAGATTTCCTGAAATAGTCGTGCTGTAAGCCTGCATACTTCCACAGAGCCTCTCTGTGATCCATCCATGTGACGTCCACAAAAAGACTTTTCTGCCACGCGAGCATGGAATGATATTGGTTAAAGTAGCATAACTCGGAAGGTCCACGCAGCATATTGATTCTTAACATGTCTTGAAGAAAGAGTGTAAGTTGCCACCCGCCGTCCCCTGCATGTCGCTACTTATTGACTCACATACCATGGTGACACCTTCTTCCTCATGTTCAATACCCGTCCATTTGAGCTTCGCGGTAATCGCAACTGCAATGCTTAAGCATACGCTGCATACCTACCTCATCGCGCGTGGTTTCCCATACCAAGACACCTTGCAACTTCTTCATCCGGGAAGGCGCTGTGCCAAGCCATGTGATCTTCCGCCTTGGCAGCTGTCGATGTCACACCAGCTCAATACGTCCTTCCTCAGTAAGAGTTTCACCTCCCCTTTTAATGTTGCCATGCCACTGTTTGGCGAGGCATATTCCAGTCTGCTAGAGGAGGGGAAGCTGCAGGTGGTTAAGCGACCTTCACGAGCCGTTCATGGTTCATGTTTCTCGAGCTTATAAGATGACGCTCCCAGCTTCGCATTCTCCGCCAAGTTTCGATTCGTCGATGCCAAGCTTCTCATTACCTCAAAACTATTTGCACATCAATTCAGCATGAAGGCATCGCTAATCTCAGCCGTTGCCCTGGCCCCCGTGGCCTTGGGCGCGACTGTTCCCAAATCTACGAAGGTCGACTATACTGGCTTCAAGGGTCTTCGCATCACTCTGCCCGAGGGCTCTGAGTATTTGGCCGACCAGATTAACGAGTTAGCTGCAACGATATTGAACCCCGGCGCCAAAGAACAGCTTGATGTCGTCGTATCTCCCGGCAATGTCGACGCTATCAGCCAGCTGGCAGTGAACACCACGATTCTCCTCGAGGATGTCGGCGCAGCTTTTGTGAATGAAGATGTAGCAACGGTGTATGCTGGTGAGTCCACGAGCCATTGTTACGAACTGATCGCAACTCATTTTCATCGATCCCTCAGTCCCCAGCGAAACCTGGTTCACTGCCTATCACAGCTATGCCGACCACTTAACTTTCCTGAGGGACCTTCAGAGCAGCTTCCCGAGCCAATCTGAGATCACCACGGCAGGCTCATCCTTCCAAGGACGAGCCCTCACCGGCATTCATATCTGGGGAAGCGGTGGGAAAGGGTCAAAGCCGGCTGTTGTTCTTCACGGCACCGTTCACGCTCGCGAGTGGATCAGCACGATGGTGAGTGATGGTCCCAACAACCATTGACTACAACCTTCGTGATTCTAATTCACATATCCTGTCAGACTACGGAGTATGTGGCTTGGCAGCTTTTGACCAAGTACTCAACAGACTCTGCCGTCAAGGCCGTGGTTGACAAATTTGACTGGTACATCACTCCTGTGGTGAACCCAGATGGTAAGCGTTCTTGCAGAATCTCACCCGCAAACGAAGATAGTAATCGTTCTGACTATTCTTGCAGGCTTTGTCTACACTCAGTCTACTGACCGTCTCTGGCGCAAAAATCGCCAAACCAACACCGGCAGCTCTTGTGTCGGCCGCGACCCCAACCGTAACTGGCCGTATAAGTGGGAGCTGACCGGAGGTGCTTCGACAAGCCCCTGCGCGGAGACTTACAAGGGTGCTGCCGCCGCCGATACCCCAGAAATCAAGGGCCTCAAGGCGCAGATAGACTCTTTGTCTGCTAGCAGGGGTATCACCCTCTACCTTGATGTCCACTCCTACGGACAGTATATCCTTTGGCGTAAGTTCAACGTCTTGATTGATCATGTGAGAGCGCAGTTCTGACTCAAATGGCTATACACAGCTTATGGATATGATTGCAACTACATCGCTCCTGATGATGCTGCACTACAAAGCATGGCCCAGCGCGGTGCAACCGCTATCCGTGGCGTTTCCGGCACTAGCTACACTATTGGCAATGCTTGCCGTGCTCTGTACGCAACCACAGGCGATAGCACCGACTACGTTCATGGTGTTGCCAAGTCCAAGTACACGTACACCATTGAGCTTAGAGACAGGGGAACTTACGGCTTTTCTCTTCCTGCTAGTCAGATCTCGGCTACTGTAAAAGAAACCTGGGCTGGGGTTCTTGCCATGGCCCAAGCTGCATGATGAAGGCAACAGTCAGATCACAAGCTCAGACACATAACTTGCGAAGGAGTGAGGCCTCCCTTTATTCATTCATGGAGAGGTTGAACTAGTTGTATAGCTTTGAAAGTATTTGTTCTTCTTGCTCTGGACCTGATCGAGGTTGGTGTGGTCGATGATCTCTGCCCATGATTCCTCTAGACTCGCTTTACATGAGGGTGTTCATCAATCGTTGAGGCGTAAAACACTCATGACCGAAGTTCCACCGAGGAGCATACCACTCAAATGTTTGCCACGTCACGTAAAGGATGAGCGGAAAGCAGTTTAAATAGATGAAGCGAGTTGCAAGATGGACAGGGCATTCCAGCTATGTACAATGCGAACGACAAAAGCGATCTAGGCGCACTACAGAGTGATTTGACTTAGTAAATGCCTCGTACCATACAGAAGTGCAAGATATTGTAAACTTACGCTGTAATAGGGAAGCTCGGTCGTCCAGTAGTAGGTCTTGCAGCCACCCTTGAGGTTCGTAACCACTATATTCAGTCAAGATTAGCGTCATCGCAGCACAGAACATGTAGATTGGGTAGACATACTCCCCATCCTCCACTCCCGGGAATCTTGCCAGTGTTCCGAGTCAACTTTTGGGTGGAGTAACACGGGCTGGCAGCCTGCCTCGCCTCAATAGGGGCAGCGACATCGGCGGCAGTCGCAACGGCTGTGAGCGAAGCAACAGCAAGGATAGACTTAAAGAACTGCATAGTCACAATAAATGAGTGTAGTCGTGAAGTTAGTTTCGTATGCGAGATGCTGTTGAGACAAGACAAGTAAGCATTACTTCTGTTGTGGCAGGCTGCCAGGAAAGGCACTTGATATATATTCGAGTACATCCTAGACTTAGGTGACTTCGGAAACTCGTAATAAGAGCTAATATCGCCATGAGGGGGTAGAAAAAAGTATAAATATATAGCTCCATCTGCTACTTTCATGGGAAACAAGAGCCCAGTCAGTCGGCGGCGTGCTCTCAACGGCCTGTGAAGTGGGCGTGTCATGCAGGTGGCGAGGGAATGATCCAATCCTGGCGGGTACGTCAGATCCAAGCGTGTCGTGCATTTGTGAAAGCGAGTAGGCTCGGATCCTTCGAAATCCATGTTCCGTCAGTGTATAACTGCGAAATGGTGTCAGCCATGATATATTACTTTACTAACACGCGTTGATTTGATGCCAGGGTGTTCTGCAGAAGTTCCTGAGTTGCTTGCCACTGATGACCACTCCTGTCGTGCCGCATGGCCCAATCTCTTCAACAATCGAGCTAGGTACTTAACCAAGATGTGTGCAATAACTACTTTATCTATTACCATAGAGCATTGTTCTTGAGTCTAGCTGCAGTTCTCCGTACACAGTGCCGTATCATCCCTTTACAAGAGGCCAAGCTCTCATATATGTCGGATGGAGTGGACATTGGGATAAGTGCCCATGTGAACCTCTCAAGGGTATTGACTATGGTCTCCAAAACAAGGATCGATTCATCTCTTCCAAGTGCTCCATATACTAGCCAAGACGATCGGATATATTCTTCGGGCGTTTATAGATCATTTGCGAAAGGCTAACCCAGTTCATATGGAGTAGAGCTCATGGAAGCCTGTGCATGGTCGGGATTGCGGCCGTCGGACTGAGCAATACTGGTCCGGGACATGGCGGCGCTAACCAGAGATCACGGCGGGCGAGGGAGATACCGTGTTGGATGGCATCTCACCCCTGCGTCCCTCACTGGAGCTTTTCTTGACAGTGAACGTCGATAGAGACGGGCGTTTCATGTGTATTTGCAATAATTTGAAGTTGCTTGCCGTCATGTGAGAGGTTCTCTAAGGAAGGTGCCTACGGACAAATAGATCCCGAGACTGTGACTCGGTAGAAATCTTCACAAATTTATAATGGCACCGCGGACCGCGAAAATTTGTATGTTCGTACGTGTATGCGTTTGGTTTCGCGCTTCCCAGAATTCAGGTAAACGAAGCACGAGCGTTCAGGCTAAAAGTAAATGAGGACAGCTGCGAAGTTCGAACTCAACTTGACCAAACTTCCTACGTCAGCTCTTGAACAATGACGTCTTTCTATTACACTTTTGTTTTACCGTGTATCGAATGCGTATATGAGATGATGGTATTTGTATTCGATGACTTGCTAGCTTGTTTACGAACTACCAAGTATTCTGCTTAGGAAGGATACATCGAGTTGCCCTACGACTGCCTTCTTTCCCAAGTTGACACGACTCAAGACTTAAACCACAGGAATCTACCAGCCCACTAACAAATCTGGGTAGCAGTGCTGTTGAATGGAAACAACAGCAAGCTGTCATACTTCCCACCCACATGGATGAAATGCAGGCCCTTATTACGGCTCACTGGCGTCTCAACCCTTTGCTCATTCACAAAAGCCGGGTTGGAATCCATACCACCTCCCAGCTCAATTAGTGGAACGTTCTGTCCAGGTTCGAAGGTGCCTTCAGTAGAAGGCACAGGTATAATCGCCGTGCCAAAGCCGATGTCAGCCTGCGCGGGGGCAATGGAGGCCGGAGCCACGTTCAAGCTGAGCAGCTCGCCGGCATGAAACCTGAGAGCGACGGGCCAGAGAGGAATGTCCACAGGTACAATCTCGCCTGGTGAAAGGAGCTTCTCCGAGGTATGTAGTATGAGGGGCTCGAGGTCCGTGGATCGATTGGTGTCTAGTTCACGGTGCGAGACGCGGAGCGCTCCAGTTGGGCCGATTGTGCTGGAACTCTCGCTGCCGGTACTAGGAAATATGGTCCCGTTGGAGGAAAGCTTCTGCACGGAGATGGAGATATCCATGTCGGTAGCATCAGGAGAGGACACCCAGAGACGGAGCTTGGAGTAACCGGTCAACTCCATGGTCTCAGGAATCTGGAAGTTGAGAGTGATGCCGGAAGTTGAGCTACTGTTGTAGCTGAGGGTGGCTTCGTCGGGTAGAGAAGACTCGCCAAGTGAGCTGTTGGGTTGCAGGTAGAGGGTCTTCGACTGGAGCCCCGGGACTGGCCAATCTGCGACGACGCGATCTAGAGTATCCTCGGACCCAGGGTCAAGAACAGCGAGACGAACGCGGGGAGTGGATTGCCACCCATTGTCTTCGCCCTTGAGGTAATGGTCAAAGAACTTCTGCAGATCGGCCACATGTTCCGAGGTAGAATAGTCGGTCCATTCTTGCGTGTTGTGCACTCTGAGCCACTTCTCTTCGGAAGCAATGCGTCGGAATGCTTCAAACGAACCATGGGTGTGAAGAAGGTTGGTGTAGCTTGCGACGATGTACGCCGGAACCTTGATCTTTTCAAGAGATGCAATCTTGTCTTGCCAGTACGGTGTAATGAGCCCCTCAGAGAGCAGCATACGGGGAACATCTTCAACGAATTCCTTTCCGGCAAAGGTAGTGAGAATCGACTCCTGGAACCCGGGAGCTGGGATTCCGCCTTTGACGGCAGTATCGCGGTACAGATCCGTGAGGCCCTCCCATGGCGCGATTGCTGTCAAGTGAGGTGGATGTTCGGCAGCAATGAACCACTGCGACACGGCCAGCCACGAGTTTCCCGAGAAGGCCACCTTTCCCGAGCTCCACGCTTGCTCTGCAGCCCACTCGACAAAATCATAGCCATCCTCGCCTAGTTGGCGACCCCAATATGTGATGTTGCCCTCGGAAGAGTAGGCGCCACGGTTGTCTGGGTTGAGAATCGAGTAGCCCTTGCACACCCAGTAGGCTGGGTCCGGGCCCTCAAACTTCTGCAACTCAGAGACTGAGGACAGATTCACGCCTGATCGACCTTCGACGTCGTCGAGCCACTGGCCGCCGATTTCTTTGCCGTAGGGACTCCATGCGATGATGCTTGGGACGGTAGCGTTCGTGGTCATGGGACGGAAGATATCAGTGTAGGTCGTAACGCCATCGCGGAGGGTGACGGGAACGTCCCGCTCGAAGAGAATATCGCAGGGCAGAGTCAGTGTGCCGTCGCGGCGGATTGTGCCGGCTTTGAGGGTCAGGTTCTCCTGCTTGAAGCCGGGGTAGCGAGCGCGAGCGGCATCGAGGGGAAGAGGTCGTCGCTGGATGATGGGGTAGGAGTCATTGCCGTAGATTCTGAGGGATCCCTGGACGATTTGGGCGCCAGTGGTGGTGTTTTGAGCGAAAGATGATGCTGGGGAGATGGTACCCAGGAGTGAGACGGCGGTGAGCCACGACGAAGGCGAAGAACGAGCGTTTGAAAGCCTCATGGTGGACAAGGTAGATAAAGGGCAGCTGTTCCCAAGAGCAAAGAATGTAAGCTATGTTATCAGTGTGTTGGAGAAGTGACCCGAGTCTGGGCGTAGCTTCGGTTTATAACTTCTCTCCTGAAGCTTTTACCGAGATGTTCGACCGAATCCATCGGGGTTAAAATTTTCGCCACGATGACTTTACGGGAGAAAGATGAGCAATAGCCCCTAACATATCTGATGTACGAATAAGATAGGAGATCCCAATCAGGCCGTACGAAAGACCCAATGAAACGCTCACGGCCGGAACTCCGCCTCTATGGCATCGTTTCTTCAAATTAATCGAGTTCGTTGCCTCAAATCTGGGTCCCGCCTCCAGATAGCGGGAGCCTCGGTGCGTCCGTGAGCTCGCGGGGCGCTTCCGACGAAGATGTTCCAACTTTGGGGACATTGAAGATGCTGCCCGAACTCGTCTTCGTCCCTAAGGTCGTTTGAGGTTGTAGTCGGCGGGAGGTCGCTTAGACCAAGACAAGAAAACATCAGTCAGGTCCACATACAGATGCATCCCATAAGTCTGATTGGTTCTGTCGTACGGTCCCTGTCAATATTCAGCTTATTTCTAGTCAGGGAAAATCCTTGCAACGCCCGTTTTTGGACTTGGTCCGTTAGTCAATTGGCCATTGGCTGCAAGTTGATGCTTCGAGTTCGTTGAGTAGTCTTTCGATAGATTGATTGGATTCTCCTCTAGCAATCAAGGCAAGTGTTGATCCCCTTCGAACTGCGGCCCTCCCGAAAGTTCCTCTTCCACCAATGCCCGCTCGTCTTTCGGGCCAGCAGCGCGAGAATACGTCAGTTTCGCTTTCCCCTTTCCGCCCGGAAACTTGACCAACACTCCAGCAACCCGAGCTGCCTCGGGAATGTCACGGCACTCGGTTACCTCGCCTAAGCCATCTTCTTCAATGTCCACGATGCGCCTCAGGACACGCGCGGCTAGCTTGCCTTCTAGCAGGCCGTCCCGACGACGCGCTCCGCGTAGAATATGTATTGCCGCTCTTCTTGTTCCTGGTTGTCGACACCGCAGAGCAAGTCTGCATAGGGGCATAATGAAGCCGCCGCCTAGGACGAAAGATGTGTGTAGCCGATGAGATGCCCTGGCGTTCGATGTAGCCACTGCTAAAGCCGCATATGTGAGCATCTCGGTGAACTCTGGAAGGAAATAATCCCAATCAGACTGACGACCAGTGTCTTCCGGACCATGAAGAGTTAAATAGACATCAATTTGCCTGATATGGAGGAGTGCATGGGAATTCTCATCGTCAGTGGAGATGGAGCTGGCGTTGAAGGCCTCCAGCCATTCCCGATACATGCTCTGGCAAGAAGTCCGAGTCGGCAGGCTTTGGAACTCTCGTGGATCCTCTTGTTGCTCAACTGCGAAGAGACAGAGATTCTCCAGAGTTTCGAGATGTCTGTTTGCTTCTCTGAGATTGCTGAATACTGGTGGACATCGTCTAGTATGCCTGAATACAGGCGGCTTTAGCTGTACGTAGTCCTCGGTTTGGAGAAGCTGCGCAGTTGTTAGAGACTGTCTTGCCCAAATGGACACTGGCAATTTCGCGTTACGAACCTCTTTCATGTAAGAGTCTAGTCGTACAAATACGGATACAAACGGCGCAAGACTTCCGGAGTTTGAAGAGGGTGAGGTGGAAGATTCAAGCTGCGTCAGGATTTTTGTCCCTAGAGAGATCAACTTCATAGCGTTGCGGGCATTCCCGCATAGTGTCTGCAGAGACATGAGCATCAATATTCTATTACACATGGCTAATGAACAATTGCAACAGATTCCTCACCTCAATACATGAGAATATCACAGCAGACGCAAGTGAGATGAAATTTACTGACTCCTTCCTGATAAGAGGGATAAAGAGCTGCTGCAGCGCTGTCTGATAATGCCGGAGAGCGCTCGCGGTCCGTTCGGTCGGTGGGGCTGTTCGAGGCACTGGCCACGCGATCGGCCAATTGTGCATGTCCTCAAGTAGAAGCCCCAAAGCAACGGTCGCGTGGAAGATGGCGTTGTCGGCGTTGGCAAGCTGCAAAACGAGTCTCCCCCAGAACTCGCATTCGAAGCCGCTCGAAAGAGTCGGGGCGCCAATTATTTGGAAAAATTGGTATGCTCTCCCCTCTTGTTCGTTGAGAGCCAGCGGGTTGAGCACGCTGGGATATCGCCTAATAGGGACTTCGAGGGGTTTTGGGACCACCACATTATGTGCGTCGCTATGAGCCGAAATGTGACATTCGAACCCGGCATTGAGACCTGCTATATTTAGGCTGGGGCGCTTTACAGATGGGAACAGGCTTTAGCTTACTTACAATTTGTGCAACTTGGTAACTTTTCATCGCATTTGACCCTTCGTTCTAGAACACAAAGGTTAGATCTTCAACCCCAAAATCATAGGTCATTCAACCGACTCCTGTAAGCTTGTGAGCGAAAGCATCGATCGACAGCCCTGAATCACGCTGTAGCCGAATGGTAACGCCTGTGTCTGGGGTGCCTGTCGCTATATATGTGTCGCGGGTGAAAGGCAAGTGATGTGCGTAAGTAGAAGTGTGTATTTCGCAAGAACTTTCAGGCATCCAAAACCATTCAAGATGATTGAGTGGGGGACCCTTCGGCTTAGCCCCCTATTTTATGATCAGTCCGACCCTACAATTAACACTGCCTCAACTTCCTAAGCCTATTAATGCCGGCGCTTGACCACTGAGTCAGGAGCTGCACACCTAGCACGACCGCCTCATCACTGAGTACCTGAGAAGACTCAGGCAAAGTTAATATGATTTTGAAGCAACGGTACGGATGCTTGAGTGGGCTTGGAGGCTCAAGAATTGTCTCCCTATTTATTTCAACTGGCAAGTTACGTGACCCCATTCCCAGCTGGTAAAACTGCGGTCAAAAGATATTACGAAGTAACTAGAGCTGCATGGGCCGATTCTCGTCTAAGCTTGGGGTGGCCTACGAGGAGGGCTGCAGGATGATCCTTCTGTAGGTCACCAAAGGTATATCTCTATCATCCCGAACAGAGAGTATGAGATGCATTGTCTATCAATTCAAAGTCAGCATTCAGCTCAAAGTGCATTTATCATCAAAGAATTCGTAATATCATAGGACAGATGAAGACATGCCTGGTTCTTGAGTGGTTCAACCCTCACGACGCTGCTATCGGCAGTCAAGTTTGCGATATCCATATTCTGGCTGACCAAGGGGATAGTAAAACCTTCCAAGTCCCTGCCACTCGCTTCGCGATAATGGAACCATTCGAACGACAACATATCAGAGTCTGGATCCCAGCTCTCGGCCGCATCAAAGACCAGGCTTTCACCAAACTGGTACCCAACTTTGAGACTTGACGGCCCACAAGAGCCATTGACCACAGCGATCGGCGGATGGTAATTTTCGCCAAAATTTCGGTTGACGGTCCACTGCATCCGGGAAGCAAAATCGTGCTGGAAATCCTCTCTCCATCGCCAAATAGTCGCGTATTTGCTTGAGAACGCCTCCCCATTCGCGCCACGAACATAATCCGAACTATCGGTATACAACCTGCGGCCACCACCGGCTGCAGATGCGTCCAGTAATGTGTACCGGCCGCCCCATCCACCCCATTGAGGATTGTCAATATCTCCGAGTCCATTCTGAACGAGAGACAAGAAGGCCGGGGTGTCACCCTCCATGATGAAGGTCCAGTTGAGGTAGTGCGAACCCAGAAGTCCGATGCGGATGTGCTTTTGCAACCAATCGTTGGAGACAATCTCCGTGTTCGGACCGCCTTTATCAAAGTGGCGATACTCTTCTCCTGAAATGCCAATCCAAGTCGGTTGCGTGTATTCACTCCAGCCATGAAGAGAGACAATATAGAACAAGTTGGGGAACCGATCGCGAATCCAAGGTCCGGCGTCATCTTGGTCTGAAATTGAGTATACCCGGAGATTGTCAACGAATTTGCTGACAGCATCAGCATCGCGCGTTGACGAAACGTGTTGAAGGGCTTCAGCCAGTACAGCTGCTCCGCCCCACACTGACACCCACAGCGGATCTGTGTCACTCGATTCATCTGCGGCTTGGACAAGGGCGACGGCTGCGCTGCTCAAGTTGTTTTGGCCGAGAGACGCAAGCCCGTACACCGGGTGGCCACTGGATACCTTGCCCAGAAGGTCCTCGGCCAAAGGATAAGCAGCGTCGGCACCAACGTTACTATTGAGATTGCCGACAACTTCTCCGTATCCCCGGATGACCTCCTGGACAGTATCTGCGTCCGTACGGTTTCGCAGCCAAGTCGAAGTTATCGCCGCAATACCTTGAATGTCTAACTCATTTGCGTAGGTAAGAAAACGGACAAGGCTCATCTGATCGTCTGGCTCGTTACTCATGTCGGTGAGGACAAAGACTCGATGCTTATGTTCGTATCGTGAGTACTCGCATTGTTTGCTGGCAAAGACCAGAGACGCAAAGATTGAGAAGAGAAAAACAGCCAGCCAGAATGGCTGCTTCCATGCGAGCGCCATGATGAAGAGATTAACAAGATGGGAGAACAAATTCGAACTGAGTCTTGCAACAAAGTACTGGTAATGAAGTACCTGCTTCGATATATAGTCTTCGCATTGGGTACTCATGTTTCTTCGAGGCAAGTAAGGTTAAATATAAGCTTGGAATGTATACGTCCCCCCCCCCCCCCCCCACTCCGAGGGATACAGATACTCTTTTAGGACTGCGGAAATCGCTTTTGTGGACAGCGAAGCTGCTTGTTAGGTACCTTGAGCCGACGGAGCATCAGATCGAAGACCATCATGTCTGTGTTCAGACGTGATAGCTGCATACATACGATGATTCCATAAAACCAAGTGGTTCGACTTGACTGTTTGAGACAACCTCCAGGAAATTTTGTCTTTCGCTTTCCAAATACAATGCCACTGTGGATAGTATGCCTGCATGTAGCTCGGGGTTACATTACATGACAATCGATTACAGATCGTGCACCCCACCGAACGCGGGGTATACGCGTATTACCCCGGATCTATGGGAGAAGTATTACAGAGTGCTTACGATTTCCTACTTTGGCCATCCAAGGCTTCAGTTACGTGATGGCCTAAGATCTTAAGCGGGCTCTCCGGAGCCGAATTTTGCCGTCTATAATTGTGGTATGATTCTGTGATTGGTGTGTAGCCACTTTTTGCAGCCTGATGTGCGTCACCGTGAGCCTTCGCGGAGAAGCTCGGAGGCCTTTCGCCGGAATCAAGACAGCTGATCATGTGTCAAAATCCAACGCCCTAGATCACTGTAAGCGAGGCGTTCTGAATTTTGGCAATTTTGAGTCCTACAAAATTAATTCGTTCTTATAGTTCCATGTTATTGCAGGATTATCTTTTTTCTGAGACCCAAATGCCACCACGGTACAAGGAAGTCTTCTCCATTCCAACTCAACACAGCTAGTCGAGTACAGGGGATAAAATCATATGGTACACCTAGGAACGAAGCCGTTGCAGCAGAGTTTTACTTCCACGCAACAGTCGCTCCAGAATTATGAGATTCCCTCGCAAGCTCGATAATTCTGATCGCATCTCGAGACTGCCTTGCCTTAACCTCCAACTCAGCTTTACCGTTGATGGCATCTGCGAGGTTCTCATAAATGCCAAGCCACCGCCCTGTGATTGTTGGAACTCGCCCGACATACTTTTTCGTCGCCTCATCGAACTTCTGGTCTTTATTGAATTCTTTGTAAGTGGTCAGAGTGCCGTACACCTCCGCTGGCTCTTCGCCGAAGCCAGGCTCCAATGGTTTGCGGCCCTCTGAGATTTGCTCTTCTTGAGGGCATGTGCTTCGTTGTTGGAACTGGACGAGTTATTAGTAAATGGAAACGTTCTTGCGGATAAAACTCCAGCGATGGGCTTACCTTAAGCCAAGAACCCTTGGTGCCTCGGATGAAGTGCTTCAACTGTTGCGACATGGGCGTGGTGACTGACGTCTTGACAGTGACGAGGAGGTCCTTTTGAGGCCCATCATACTGCAGGATAATTGTGAAAGAGTCCTCAACCTCACTCTCAATGCCTCTCTGAGCTCTGAAGAAGCCTGTTACGGCCTTGGGACGACCAAACAGTGTGACAGCCTGGTCAATGCTGTGGGTTCCTGAGAGGATGCAAATTACAGTTAGACAAGGCCGATCAAGGTTGGGCGAACATGAAAGGTCCAACATACCAAGACCAAAGGCCATGCCATCGCCAGGTGTGTACTCTTTCTTGGTCATTCCAGAGAGCCAAGGAGGCGACTCGAAGTCATAGTGAATTTCCGCCTCTTTGATGTCGCCCAAAGCATCCTCGTTGATGAGCTTCCTCAATGTCTGGAAATCGCCATCCTAATTTCTAATAAGCAACTGCGCGGGGGAAACTATAATAAATGAGACATCACTTACCCATCTCCGGTTTTGAAAACAGGACAGAATTAAGCCCTTTCTCTCTGCAAGCTCGATGACACGGTCTGCCTCCTCGGATGATCTCGCAAATGGCTTGTCCGCAATTGCTGTGTGCGACAGTCAGATCCCACATCATAACATGGAAAGATTGGGCACTGAATTTGCACATACCATGCTTCCCAGCTCGCAAAGCTTTCTCAGCAAATGAAGCATGGGTGTCGGTGTGTGTTGCAACAACAACGAGTTGTGTATCAGGATCAGCGAAGAACTCCTCCTCTGTGCGATAGTGCCTAATGTTAGGGAAGTCGACTTTACAGTGAGAGCCAGGTGCCGCCGAGGACGGGTCCTTGGGAGCCTCCGCTCGTTGAAGGATGGCGATCACTTGGTAGTCATTGTTGGCAGTGATGAAGGGCAAGTGGAAGTTCTTAGCGGCGAAGCCGTAGCCCACAACACCAACTTTGATGGTGGACATGACGAAGTCGAGAGATCTTTTGTTGAGGCAGATGTTGGGAAGTTGCAAGCAAGGCGAATCTGGACGTAGTGACCAGCTCAAACTTTCTGCATGGAGTTATCAACTTCAAAGTTCATCAGCTTCGGTAACCTTTTTATGTCATGACGTGGGGTGCGGGGCACCGTCGCAATTAAGCCCGGCGATGTGGGATGATGGGCTGGGGGATTGGCGTCACGCCAAAGCCGATACTCCGCGAGAAGACTCCACATCGACACCCGCAACTCGGAGTCTCAGACACACCTTTCAACGTTTTTGGAGTCGGATTACCAATTGAGGGGTCCTTTATTTTTGGGATTGAATAAAGAAGTTACATGTAAGTACTCGCACTAGACGACGTGGAAGTGTTGCTTTGCCAAGCTGCCTGGCAAAGTGATCCACACTAGCCGAGTCCAACTGGAAGGCTTGCCTAAAGAAGCAGGTCACTAATCTCATAGATGTATTACGATATAATCATATCCGATGATCAACCGACTCATTGCTGATGCGCCGATGTCGGTTGACCATGCTTAGCGATGAACGCCGAGACCAAATCTGTTTCTTGAGCTTCTGCTCGTAACAAGTTACAGGCCATTTGAGATGTTCGCCTCTTCAGAAATATTCATCAACGAGGCGTTCATAAACGTATATATCAGGACTGCCTTGACAGCACAGCTTATCCTGGCGCATTTTCGTGAGCGAAGTGTTTGTATAGCATGATACTGCCGTGACCTTCACACTGGTCCCTAGTTCCTATCAATTCACGGTGTGAGCTGCGCTGCAATCATACAAATGATTCTCCTGGAAGAAATTTATATACGCCCTTGAATCCCTGTCAAGTCTCTAGTAGGAGCCGGGAGTACAACAATTGAGGTACTGAGCGTGAGGGGATCAGCCGAGAAACCCGGCCGCCTGTTGCATCCTCCTTGGGTAAGTGTCTTACACATCGCTCCAGTTCAGTTTTGTGCACCAAACATGATCGACCGACACATCTTGACAAGTCAAGAAAAGGACCGGGCAATCGTCACTTTCTTCTTATATCCCAAGTTGACGGGCAGAGTAAACTTCGAGTCTTCATGATGGGCATCAAGCACCTCAGTAGATCTACGACCGCGAGAATAGTACACTGCCGCGCCTTATGTGAAGGTGCCCCTGAGATGTCCCTTTCATGCATAGCGCGAGAGTCGCATGCCGTTGCTGATGATTTCCACAAACATGTAGACAACATCGTGTCAATATCAAACATGATGTCAAAACTTTGACTTCGCAACAAGCCTAGGAATCCTCCCGAGGGCCTTAATCTAGTACTGAGATTGGAGTCAGTGCGCCCTTACACCCCGTCCTAGCGCACACTCCAGGTGTTCTCCCAGGGAACAATACCTTTTTCTCGGCTCCCATCTCCCTATTGCAGCACCATTCAATGCATGCTGGTCTAACCTCACCCGTGAATGCAAGTCTGGATGTGATTTTAAGCTCAACATAAGGTACTCAGTGGTTTCCCCAGCCTGAGGGAGAAAGATACTTCGACCATCGATTGAAATGAGAAGGATGGTTGTATCAGTATGCAATGCCAATCATCATCATCATGAAAAAATGAAGCAAAGAATTGGGGGTGATGCAAAGTGCATTTATATGTCAACATTAGTGGGTAGTTGCAGGGTGAACTCTTCATGGATATTTAGCCTGGGATTGTTTGAAGCTGACTTAGGTTATATTTGTTCTACCCACAGTCGAGAACTTGATTCATCACTTGCAAGCTTGAAATCTTACAGCCTCTTGTCAGGGGTGGGTGTGTAAGTAGGATCTGCGGGGAAGGAATAGATCGGAATGTCCGGTCCGTCTTCCACAGGGTCAGTGTTTGGGTCACTTGATACACCCGTGGAAGAAGCCTCTGGTGTTGAAGGTGTAGTGGGAGTCGCAATGATGCCGCAACTCGAGTCAGGCTCGGCCGCAATATTGACGTAAAAGTCCGCGTTGTAAGCCGCGTCAAGAGAGGCTTGGATGTTGGCATCGGTGAACGGGCAGCGGGCATGTTCGTAGCGAAAGTCATTGAACTGTGACGTGGCTGCCGGCGACAGCTTATTCCAACTAATCAGCGGCGGGCTCAGTCCGTACTGAGCATTGTTTGCTGAAGGGAAGACGTTGACCTGGCCGTCGTAGCCCACGATAGCGTGCGTGTTGGTAGCGCCCGTTCCGCTGTCTCCAGAGGCAAAGATAGTCGACGATGTAAGGCCTTTGTCGTATGTCTCCGTGCCAGTGGAATAGCTGATGCCCGCAATGTCGTAGTTGCCAGCAGCGGCGTTGCATGTCTCAGTGTGTAGCCAGACTACAGCAGTGAGGTACCAGTGCCTGTGGTTTTCGGTCTTGGTCTGGATCTTGGGAAGATACCATGAGTACAGAACGGCCGGGCGCCCATTAGAGGTTCCAACTCGGGAGTAGATTTGACCCTTTGCTGAGTCTCGACAATCACCTCCACTTTTGCCCGTAGACTTGAGGCCACGCCTGGAGAGAGGATCGATGAGAGGGAAGCCTAGACGTTAAGAGAAGCTGAGAAGAGACTTACCCATGGAAGCCATCCTTATCGACAGCTGCATAGGGGAAACATCCGCTACCGTCGTTCAGCCAAGGCTTGAAACGAAGTTCGATGTCGCCCGGGGTGCCATCCGCCGTTTGCTGTTGGAAAGCTGCAATCTCGTCATGGTTCTTCCACTGATTATTCAGGGAAACGTCCTTTTCTCGTGGCGACAGCGCTGCACCAGCCGTCAGCGTGGCTAGGCTGAGAAAACATGGAAAGAGCGAGTGACGCATAGTGGCTTTGACATTAACGAAAGACTAGAGACCAATGATGTTGGTTCTTTCAAGCCTAACCTGGAGGGAGAAAGCTGGATGATATGGCTAATTCAGCCACCCTCAGCTGAGGAGTTGTCAGCTCCTTGATCTTTGCAAACAAGAGAGCACTTTGACATCGGTGGGCCCGAACACTGCTTGAAGATAGTTGACTCGTTGAGTCTGCAACTGGGCCAGTTAATTAAACATGATAGTTCATATAAATAGAGTTTACGGTTCACAGCGCAGTTGCGACATGTTCGTCCCGTCTCTTCCATGCCAAGGATCTACAATCTGGTGCCAAATATAGTGAACTTGCCTGACTCATTGCATGCAATGTCCCACTTGCTGGAGATCCACGACAACCCAAAGCGCTTTTTCTTTCGCAACTAAATGCAATTGACGAAACAATACAAGACAATGTCAAAATGGATCGTCATATTGAAGTCAAAGTGATAGCTCACATCAAGCGATTCAGCGAAGGAGTTTCAAGTCCGCAAGCAACTATTGTTCTGCGCGCATAACCAACTCGAGCTCTTGAATTTTCTGTGACCAAGACCTGCCCCACTATACTCTCCTATTCCTCAAGAGAGGGAATTGATTAAGGTTTCGGTGTGTCCGACAACTCTCTGTGATGCGCAAGTTCAGAGAATGAGGATATATACCTTATCATCAAACAAGCATCTTCATCTATTAGGTATCAAAAACGCAGCTCTTCAGTCCGCCTCTACATACAGCCTGCCATCGCGCAACTGACGCTCATTTGCCTAATTTGCATTACGCTCGCTTAACAAAATGCTTTCAAGTCATTTCCCTGCCATTCTTTTGGCACTCGGCTCCGTTCTCACGCTAGTATGTTGCCCCAAGACACATGTTCAAATATTCCAGCCCTCATCCAGGCGGTCTTCTCGGTAAACTGACCCTGAGAAATAGATCTCTGGCCAACCTGTCCGGCCATTTGCTGTAAGTAATCAACCAAGCTCTTTTTGAGGGCCAATTGACTAATTCTGATGCAGGGAAACCGTGCCTACGCTGTTGATGCCGAAGCTGACGAGACTGGAAACCGATGGGCCTTCTCCGTTTACGCTGACGGCTACACTGCTCGGGACGAGGAGGGCAACACCTCACCTGTCGACACCCTACTTGTCAACAAGATGTCTAAGCGCCTGACTGTCATCAAGGCCATGAACGGATTCGACACCACCACGCCCCGCCTCAAGATGCGACAGGTTCTCAAGGAATGCTGGAAGATGACTGGCCTTCAACCCTCAGAGTTGAAGGAGGTCTTGGGCTACCAGATTGAGAACGACGACATGAACAAAGCCTTGGGAGAGTGCCGTACCAAGATCGGACTAAGACCTACTGCATCCTTCGAGATTTCCAGCAAGGAGACGAACGCGAACCGCAAATGGTGCTGGGAGAGGCTCGGAACAACAATCTTCTCTTCAGCAATCAGAGGTTCGATTGCGGACTTTTCTATCAACAAGCAGCTCATTCAGATCAAGGTGGACAATGGTGGAAAGTGGGATCACGTCTATTATGAGTTCTCGTAAATAAGCCAAGGTGTTTTCGAGGGGTCTACTCCTTCGGGACCTCGACGAAGGTGGTATCTCGAGTGTTGGCCTGCGGGTTTCCATGCACCCGTCGAGGGAAATAATCCAGCGTTAATAAACCTGCTGTTGGAAAACCATGCTCAGGTCACAAGTAGTTGCTTTGACTTTCACAAGCTCGACAAAGTTTGCTTGTCTGTCCGTGCAGGGAGCTGGGTTTTGCCCTACGATGTTGGCGCTGAGGCCTATGCCAGCTCAAGGCTGACCCGCGGGCGGGGGGGGCGGAGCTATTTTAACAAGCCCATATACCTAGTATGTACGACTGAGTCCCCGAGGAACCACTCAACGATAAGTGCATGTTGTCGGAATAATCATTATAACCTTTCCCTTGGAGCATGGCCGTGCTAGTTTGGAGTAAAACGCATGTCCAGAATTGGTCAATGTGCCGGTGGGATGGTTTTGTTTAGTGCGTCAAGCTGGGTAAATATGCCGAATTAGACTTAGACTTTAGGTTTAAGGTCCACATCTGTTCGCATCGGATGGCGGGCCGCAAATGGTTTAGCCTCTGATTAACACGAGCCATTCTACACATCTTCAATAAGGTAGAACCAGTTGATTCCTCTTGATGCTGACCTCACATGCTGCGAGCTCCTGATCGAATACAAACAATTATTGTCGCAAGATAATCTGATCGACTAACCAGACTTGGCATACCATTTCCAAACGCTAACTACCTAGCTTACTTAGCATGGGGAATATAGGAAGACCTTCGGGTGGGTGCTTTACTTGCAAGGAGAGAAAAGTCAAGGTACGTGGGGATGCAGTGATTCAGAATGATTTTGGCATCCTTTGCCACATAGAAAGAAGTGACTCATGTAACTTGTGCATCCAGTGCGATGAAGAGAAACCAACTTGCAAGAAATGCAGATTAAGCAAGCGAACGTGTAAGGGATACCGGGACACATGGCAGACTTTCCACCGAGAAGAAAACTTCCATGTTGCCCAGCTGGTTCATACCAGAGTCACAAAGAAGTTGAAGGAAAGGCAGCAGCGGGCTACGGAACCAACAATTCCCCGTCAAGTACAACCCGATCAAGGGACAATGATCTTAAACCACTTCTATCGCGACTATTCCGAAGACTCCGGCATTGCCTTTTTCAGCATGTTGCCGGCCATATCTTCCGCAACCCCTGCCGATTGCTTCCTCGACGCTTTGAAAGCCACAGCACTTGCCAGTTCCTCACGGCAGTTGACTCAATGCGGACTCATGGTGCAAGCCAGAAGCCACTATGGAAGGGCAATTATGGGCCTCAACGATGCCTTGAAGAACCCCACTGTGGGACAAGATGACTCTGTGATGGCCGCATTGTTCATCCTGGGTCTCTTCGAGGTGAGCCGTGTCACTTTGTCGTCTATGACTCAACGAGACCATATCTGACATCTACGTAATTAGGCTATCGGTGCGCAGCCACAGAGCAGACTTGTGGATACCGAGGCCACTTGCCACCCACATTCTCGAGGCGCCCTGGCTCTTCTACAACATAGATCATCCTTGAAACTAGAGAATGACTTGGACAGAGTAGTATTGAAATTCTTCAGTCATGTCGCGGTAAGGAAAATTCGTCTATCTTCAGAAGCATGGACAACTCATCACTGACAACCCATGTCCCGAGAGGTAGTTGATGGAATACTTTATGAGCCCCCCAGGCTTTGCGCCACTCTGGATCACGCTGTCTAAATTCGGACCATCCTTGGCTAATGGACCAATCTCGAACCTGTAGTGAGTCGAGCCGTGGAATACAAAGCATCAGCCGAAAGACTAATATCCCACCCGAGTAGCAGTTCGGGCCCGACTGTTGATGAAATCCTTGGACCGGGGCTCGATCTTATTCACGACCTTGCGGAAGCAGCTTTATCGCTTAACTCGACAGGCAATCTTGCATCAAAGAAAACGGCTTTCAATGATCTCATTAATATAACTTCGCATCCAAACATCGTCATAGCATCCTGTCTCTATTTGACAGTGAAATTGCGACTCACAGAGCTGATGCTCAGTATGATCATCACGGCCGAGGAACATTCAGAAGCCGGGGACGAGCTTCGTAGTCTCACAGAGCATGGAAGCGAAAACGTGAGGCAGATATGTGAGAAAATCTCTGCCATTTTCGTAGATGGTCATCCTGGAGTCGAGCAGTATCAAGGATGGCCGTTTAGGGCGTGGTGCATGCTTTGGCCCATGGCGGCAATCATGAACTCGTGCTTGGCAGGAGAAGAAACGAGGGGTTGGGTCAAGAGCAAACTTTGCCATGTCGGAAAATTGACGGGGTTTGGACTGATGACAATTATTGCTAGCATGTGAGGTTGAAACATGTACTCGGCGCCACGCCAGACTACTGTCGTCGACGTTTTTTTGCTCGACAAGAAAGATATCATCTTCAGACAAAATCTCAACGAGAATCAATGAGTTGCGCAGTGCCTTATTTGCGGATTTTGCCTTGAACCCGAAATCCCGCAAATTCCGGACTAAGTACCTGACTTGAATGGGCTATAGCTAACATCGACAATTGCTAATACCATATCACTTGAACTAGGTCCTCCCACCGACACATATCTCCACGTTAGCTCTCCCCCACAATGAAGAACGACGTAGTTCGGTCCATCTCTGTGCCACAACCCAGTCTCGCCGTCAAACTTAATCAGGCCAATCACAGAACACGATCGGATGCAAAGCCTGAAATAGACTAGCGGCATCCTGCCCAGTTCAGCATCTTGGTCGAGAAGCTGAGCAGCGAGAGGTTGATGAGTTCGACTATAAGAGGGAGGGTAAGGTTGACCACATGCATCAATATAATAATTCAGCAACATTGTAGTATCAGTCTGATGCCCTATCCTCATCGGTAAATTACTCTCCGCTCCAATACTTCTGGTGTTCTTAATTGACACAAAAATACCCTGCTCAGTACAATGGCCATCTCAAGTTGCCTCTGCCAGGCCCTGAAGATCAAAATTCCAGGTCGTCCAATGGCTGCCGTAAGTCTCCGTCTATCTTATATCCATAATTCAATTCCAAAATTCTGACAATTTCGACAGGCTTTGTGCCATTGCAGCGACTGTCGGAAGATCTCTGGTGGTGTCTTTGGCTTCAACTGGGTTGTCGCCCTCAAAGATGTCGAAATCACCGGAATTCCCAAGACATTCAGCACGACGGCCAACAGTGGCAACACTGTCATCAGCCATTTCTGCAACAACTGCGGTGTCACTCTCTGGAGAGACGGACCAGCTTCTAATGGATTGATGTATCTCAAGGCGGGAACACTGGATGACTTCAACGACCAGAAATGGGTCACACCGATGGCTGAAATCTTCGTGTCTAAGCGCTTGAGCTGGTTGGGGCCTGTTCCAGGAGCCGCACAGAAGCTGGAGATGAAGTAATTTAAGACCCAGAGGTCTTGATTCATGTTTCGATCATTGCCGGAACATTCTATGGACAACAACTATCCTCATCCGAGTTAGAAAGGTATCCAAACTTGGCCTAGGCATGTTTATCAAATCATTCTCAATCGGGAAGGAATCGATTTTCAGCTTGAATGTGTTTCATCACTACAAGAACCGCTCCGCGGTTCAAATGACACATCTTCACACTACTCTCGATTCTTCTTATATTGACCGACATGTCCCGACATGTCATCTCAGCCTAGCCCAGTCCTAATACTAATCTTGCAGGGAAGCTTTTGGGATTCCCAAACGCTCACCTAGCGTCACCCAAGCAGCCACAAAAAGCAGTATCCTGAAGGCTTTGACATCTGCCTTCTCACCAAAGCCACGATCAAGCGCATCCTCTACGATATTATAATCAACGAATCCAAGATTCTCTACTCTTTCTTTGGTCAGAGTATTCTGAAGCATGTCGTGAAGCGGTCCACCCCTAGACCACTTGATAGGGGCTGTGAATGGGTGCTTCTGCCGCTCATACAACTCTTTGAGAATGAATGGTTTAGCTGCCTCTCGAAGGATCCACTTCTCGGTCAAGGCTTGTGACGCGACGCCAATACCTTCCCACCAAGGACCTTGATGTCGCTCAGGGGGTATCTTGTCGGGTGTGTAGGCCATCTTAAGACTGGGAGGTAAGTTGTTGACGTATTCTGTTAGCTTGTGGTCGAGGAATGGAGTTCTAGCCTCCACACTATGAGACATCTCGGTCAAGTCACCGAGACAACTTAGTAGAATATTCGGTAGAGGGCCCTTGCTGTATATGTACTGGGCTGTGTGGAGTGGATGCCACTTTCTCTGCATCTTTTGCAGTGTCGACGGCTTGAAGGACTTCACTATGACTTCCTTGCAGTCGAAGTTGGCCCATCGCTTGTCCTCCCGTACCCATGGCGCGAACAAGTCAAGGTTGGGTTGCCATGTCAGGATACATGGGGGAAGAATGGTGTTATTGACCTTTTGAATACCCGGCGTTGCCTCCCAACCGTGCTCAAAAGCGCCGGCACGGGGAATGAGCATCTTGATATCCCGCTCAGTGGATCTTTGCATATGTTCTCTGAGCTGCGAGTCGCCTACTAACGGCGAGTCCGGCATGGAAAGGTCGGGTTCACGAAGTAGATCTGGAGGGAAGAATGCGTAGCCGGCAAAATGTTCGTCGGCACCCTCTCCGGTTAACACAACTTTAACACCATTTGCATTCGGTAAAGTCGAGAGCGCAAACTTGCCAACGCAGTTGAGATCGAAGTGGTGATGCTCGCAGTGATAAGCGCAGTCAGCAAAGCTATTGGCCAACTCATTCTCGTCAATCTGCTTCTTTGAGATCTGGATGCCAAGATGTTCTGCTGTTCGCTCGGCAATATCTAGAACAGTATTATGAGAGACTTGACATTTTCTTGAGCATTGGGAACCTTCTTACCACTTTCATCGAATCCAGATTCCTTGGGGAACTGAATCGTGAAACAGCTGATGCGGCTCGTCGCGTCTTCATTGCCAATCTGGATGCCTTCATCTCGTACCAAGTGGGTTACTATTCCGGCAACCAAAGACGAGTCGATACCACCAGAGAGGTAAATGCCAATCGGGACATCTGCTCTTAGACGAAGACGAATTGATTCTGTTAATTTGTCCCGCAGACCCTGAACCATCTCATCGACGCTCCTGGTCTCTCCCTCGGTCTAACAAGCTGTTAGCTGAATACCCCCCAAACGATTGGGGGCCCAATTACTTTGTTTTTATAATCAGCATCCCAGTACTGATGTACTTGCATCATGCCGTCTTTGGATATCTCCATCCAGTGCCCCGGGAGAACTTTCTTGACTCCCTTGAATAATGACCTTCCGTCTTGCATCCATCCGCCGTCCACAATCGCGCCGACATCCCACTGCGGCTTCCACCCCAAAGGTAGGAAAGCTTTTGCTTCTGGAGCGACCATAAGTCTGATAACCCCATTAGTCTGCCGGATGATTGTCCACAGCAGTGGCTTGATACCAAATCGATCTCTCGCCAAGATAACCTTTCCCGCTGTCTCGTCATAAAGGACGAAAGCGAATTCTCCTCGGAGATGATCCAGAAACCGAGGTGCGCCAAAAGCCTTGTACAATGCAAGAATGACTTCACTGTCGCTGCGTCCCTTGAACACGAACCCCTTTTCTCTGCACTCTTCTCGGATGCGATCATGATCATAGATCTCGCCATTGACCACTGCGTGAATGGCATTATCATCACTATGGATAGGTTGATTGCCGTCAGGAGTCAGGTCGTTGATAGCCAAGCGGCAGTGACCCATGCCTGCGGTGGATGATGCTTAGTTCATAGAGGAGGGTTCAGTATGAGCAACAGTACTGACCCACGAAGCCATCCTCACTTGCCCACACCCCCTGTGCGTCCGGGCCACGATGGCTTATGGCATCGAGGCTCCTTCTCAGTTGATCTTTGAGACCCTGTGAATCTCTTGTTTTATCATTCCCGTCGTTGTTGATAAGGTTATCAAGTCCGCTTGCGTATCCATTAAGGGCTTCAGTATGAAAGTGGTAGCCTGGAGGAAGAGTGAGACAAGCCGAGATGCCGCACATCTTGACTTCGCTGTAGATAAGGTAGGGCGGTAATTCCAGGTTTGATCAGGTATAATAACAGAGAGACAGGAGCAGACAAGTGTGGTTCTTCAATTACACTGATCATGCCATCTGAGTTACGTCGTGATGGAGACGGATGCTTTTGGTATGCTTTGACATTGACCGATATCCCGGGGTGGGGCCGATGTTCGTCGGGGGGCCGTATTCGGCCTGTCCCACTCGGTCGCAGCCGAAAGGGGAAATTCCGGGACCCATCCCTTTGGAGCAGTTACAGTCACCTTTGCCTGTCGGCACCTGTTGGTGAACTCGAACCTCTCAGAACACTGACCAGAGCCAAGACACTTGAATCCTGCAGAGAAACATTCACATGGAAATTGAAGCAGAATTTCGCGGAAAGGCTGGGAAATGATGTGGCACCTGATCTAATTGAGTCGCTGCTCAATATGGGGTAGGATGCGCCACAAATAGAATCAAGACATCGTTAGGGCAGACCGACGAGAGTGAAGATCCTTTGTAGACAGCTGATTTGACTGAAAACAGCCCACACCATGTGCAAGAGATATTTTATTACGCCATTACGGTGGTTGGATTCTCTGAAGGTGATACATAAGATGCAATTTGAAAGTGCTGTGCTTCGGACCAACGAGTTGGTGTTCGCTGCAGCAAAGCCTAATATCGAGACCATGGCATTTTCTATACTTTGATGCTCAAATACCAGGGACGTAGGAGACCTCGCCCATCTCCTTCCTTAATCTAAGCTTCGGACCCCTCGAAGAACCCGATGCCGATGCGTCTTGGGGCTTGAGCGCCATAGTCGTCTGATGGGCACTCGCGTTGTTCCTCACATTCCCTGACAATGTTGAGCGGGGGAAACCTAAAACTATCCCATCCCTGCATCTCACCTCAAAGTTCCCAGTTCTACATACAATGCAGAAAGGAGGAAGCAAGGACAAATACCGGAAAGAGTGATGTGTCGGTCGATACACGTGTCAACTGATGGAGGACAACCTTTTCTCCCCACGACATTCGCGAAACCGAATCAACCACACAATGGCCACATCATGCAGTCTAGCCACAAGGTAAAATTCTCTCATTTGTTTTCTCTTTTTGATTGGCGTGTTCGCGTAAATAATTACTAAGTTCAGAAGCACGGGATGAAATGATTCTCTGTCGATTGACGCGGCAAGGCCTTTCTTTACTGAGGCTCCTGATGAGAGCACCTACTCAGAAATTTTGATCGCCTCAACGTCCTCATCTAGCAGTAGTACACGCTAGCCTGTCGCTCAGCTATATCAAAAGCATCTTCATTCGCCCCGTGATATGGTGTCCGATATGATCTCTATTCGCGGCTGGATCTGCGGCTTCCTAGTTCCAACCGCACTCGCTCAATGGGCAGACCCCAGCCTCACGCAGGTTGCTCTTGGCGCAAATAAAGCATGCGAAGCTGGCAGTATACAACATCCTGCGCTCGATGGCATTCGTATCATTTCACTTACTGCGGCTGAACAACGGAACTTCACATACAATTTTCACCCCAGATTCCGGTTCGGCCGCGCGATTCATGGCCTAAACTTCTGCAACGTCACAGTGATCTATACTCATCCCGGCTGGAACGATGAAATCAAGGTTACGACCTTTCTTCCGATGGAAAATTGGAACGGAAGATTCCAGGGAAATGGAGGCGGCGGATGGGTTACGGGGGGGATCGAAGTGGGCGGGATCACGATGATGCCTTCTTTAGAGGCAGGATTCGCCGTCAGCACGACTGATGGTGGCCACTCGAGTAAACTTGACGAGGCATCAGGAGATGATATGTCTTGGGCATTCACCAGTTCCGGAAACATCAACTGGCCTCTTTTTATCGACTTCTCCCACGTCGCCTTACACGACATGGCCACAATTGGGAAAGCTTTGACGGAGGCTTTCTACGGCACCCCCCCAAAGTACGCGTACTTTTACGGCGGATCAACTGGCGGAAGACAGGCTTACATGCTAGCCCAGCGCTATCCAGATGACTTCGATGGGATTTTAGGATTCTGTCCTGCCATCAACTGGGATGGGTTCCAATGGTCTCCTTTGTGGGCTCACAGAGTCATGGATAAGAAGGGCGTCTACCCGCGACCTTGCGAGTTCGAAGCCATCACAGCTGCGGCCATGAAAGCATGCGACGGGCTTGATGGAGTCGAGGATGGAATTGTCTCTATGCCCTCTCGGTGCTTCTTCAATGCCAGTACCCTCGTCGGCCAACCTTTCAACTGTGGAGGGAAAGACGCGTTGTTCACTCTTGAAGCAGCAGAGGCAGCAAATGCTGCCTGGAATGGACCACGAAGCGTTAGCGGCGAGTTTCAATGGTATGGATACGGGAGAGACGCAAAAATGTGGCAATTTGGTGCTCTCCATACATCATGTGAGGGCGAAGGAGCGAAATGCGCGCCGGTCAGGTTGTCCATCGCCGAGTCATACGCGCGATACTTTGTTGCCAAAAAAGCCAACCTCGATCTTCAAGCCCTTGGCCACAGTCAGTGGGACGATCTTTTCGTCGCGTCACGAAACGAGTACGAATCAATCACCGGCACTTCCGATCCCGACTTGAGCAGGTTCCGCAAGGCTGGAGGCAAACTGCTCAGCTGGCATGGGATGGCCGACCAGATTATTCCAGTCAACGGTACGGTCGATTACACAAACAGAGTTCTCAAGAAGGACCCTAAAGCCCACGACTACTTTCGCATGTTTCTCGCTCCGGGCGCTGATCATAGTATTTCGAATGGCCTCGCTCCGCGGAACACGTTGTCCGCGCTGATTGACTGGGTTGAGAAGGGAATCGCACCGATCACATTGCGGGTTGAGGGGCTCAACGCTTATGGCAAGCACATGACGAGAGATATCTGCATGTACCCCAAAGTTCAGCACTACGTGGGTGGGGACCCAGCATCGTCGACATCATTCGCTTGCGTCTAATAGTGAACATAAAGCATTTTGCAAGCACTTAACCGTTAGTGGCTGTTGAACAGAGAAGAACACCTGTGTTTTCCCAATCTGCAACAGCCTTGGGAAGATGGACGCGGAGGTGGGAGATGGCTGAAGTGATGAGACTGTTCCTGGAAACGAAGCCTCAACTGGAAGATCTCCAATGTGAGAAAGGGGAGTAGAGCTAAATACAGCCCGCCTATTAAACATTGTTGCCCCCCATACATATCCACACTAACTTTTATCTTATTCAACATTTATCTCGGGACCAATGATCTGACGATGAGATTCCATCATGACAGCCTTTCGCACAGCTAAATCGTTAGGCGGTCTCAAGGTCAGCATAGTTCCTTGAGCGGAAACAACGAAGCATCGATGCTGGCAGCCCTTTACATAAGAAACTGTCACGTTACAGAAGAAAATTTTATGAAATTGGAAGACCGCAGATTGACTGTGCGCCATATGGCAGATGTTCAAAGTGATATCTAGCTTTCCAAGCGATGCTCGGAGACAAAGATTGATCCAAGATAATCTCGGGGAATTGTAGCCTCTTTGGATGTAGTGGGGTAATTACTCCACTCCGAGTTCACGCCGATGACCCCGCGTCCCGTGACCCCTCTGCCGCGTTTCCATCTTATCGGGAGACGCGCCCCCATCTGCAGTCTGCTGACGGATGGACTACGTGTGACGGTGTGAGCGAGGTGGGAGTAAGGTGGATCAGAGCTTTACAGAATTGTGGCCGACACAAGCTAATCGTCAGATAAAGAATATTGATTTGGCATCCTGCACACTATCAGTGCCACTACTGGGCTCCCCCTAACTCCGTTTCTACTCCGGTAGTTGGGAAGCTTTTGTATTTCGTCATGTTCTCCGCCCGAAACACCTCGGTAACTCGGATAGCGTTGACGCTAATCTATACACTGACAAACACATCTTGCCCGGCATTTCTTTGCAAAACTTTTGATTGAAATATAAAGGATCTTTAGTGACGTTGAAGTGCTCACTGCATTCTTTCACGATCAACGTTGCAGAGCTTCATCATACTTTATTTTCAAGATGGCCACCGACTACAAATTCGAGGGTTGGGTGGCGGACGACCCCTCTTCGGTGGACGGCAAGATGGTCTGGCGAGAGTATGAGCCGAAAGTCTGGGAGGAGACGGACGTTGATATCAAGATCACTCACTCGGGCATTTGCGGCTCCGATATTCACACTCTGCGAGCTGGCTGGGTATGTCGCACACTCATGCAGCGTCTGCCACTCTGCATGTTCTCCGAGTCTCAATTGGCTAGCGTGCTGACGGTGACTTTTAGGGTGCCACCAGATTTCCTGCCGTCGTCGGCCATGAGATTGTGGGTGTAGCCGTGCGTGTCGGATCTCAGGCAGAAGGCGGCATCAAAGTTGGCGACATCATCGGCGTAGGCGCGCAATCCGACTCGTGTCTTTCGCGCGATGGGCCCTGCGATGCGTGCGAAGTCGGCGAGGAGAACTACTGCACCAAGCGCGTCAACACCTACAACAGCCTCCATCGCAACGGCAGCCAGACACAGGGCGGATATGCGTTGTACCATCGCTGCCCGAGTTACTTCGTCATCAAGATCCCCAAGGGAATTGCACCTGAGCAAGCTGCTCCCATGCTCTGTGGCGGTGTCACTGTCTTCTCACCTTTGAAGCGCTACAACGTCGGGCCCGGCAAGAGAGTCGGTGTCATTGGCGTTGGAGGCCTCGGTCATTGTGCAGTCCTGTTCGCGAAAGCTCTAGGCGCAGACAAGGTGGTGGCTATTTCGAGAAAGTCTGATAAGAAGCAGGATGCTACGCAGCTTGGTGCAACCGATTTCATCGCCACGGCTGAGGACGAGGACTGGGCTACGAAGAATGCCCGCACCCTCGACGTGATCATTTCTACGGTCGCGTCTCCCAAGGTACGTGAATGTCACGCTCTCCGTGAAAATCGTGGTGATTGGATTGAAGCTCATGCAATGATAGATGCCTCTGGCCCAGTACCTTGGCCTTCTGTCACGTGGTGGGACATTCGTTCAAGTTGGTGCCCCCGAGGAGCCGGTTCCACTGAGCGCATTTGCCCTGATTCGAACCCGAGTGCACTTGACTGGATCAGTTATTGGCAGTCCTGGGGAAATCAGAGAAATGTTTGACCTTGTGGCCGCCAAAGGAGTCAAGGTCTGGGTTGAGACACGCCCAATGAAGGAGGCCAACCAGGCAGTTTTGGATATGGTTGACGGTAAACCCAGGTACCGATATGTTCTGACAAATTAAGACATAATTAGACACCAAAAACAACATGACCCATCCTTTCGGTTGACTTGGAAGCTTCGTGTCCTTTTATTCCGAAGTATAAATCACATCTGGACTCAGATCATCTAGTTCTTTAATACCTGCGGTTTATGGAACTTCCAGTGTCCGCAACGGAAGCGAGAAAGAATTGGCCCTCAACGTGAACGCTCCTCCTGCCTCGGTGGGTGTAGCGTGTTCTCGGCAGACGCTCAAGGGCGGATACTACTCTATTTAAGCAGCATGGATACGGGTAGCATGGGTCAACGACCTTGGTTTCCGCCGGAAACCTCCATCGCAATTTCCTTCAGGGCCCACACCGAAAGCTCACTGTCATTCCGGAGGACTCGAGACCAAACTGATTCGTTGCCACTGACATCGCATTGAACAACTCGACACACAGCGACTGTGAGGTCCAACTCAAGAGCCTACTTCCATACAATCCGGTCATAACAATGTGTTTTCTTCAGAATTCACGGCGTAGTGAAGAGATCTCGCTATTGGGTTGAATGTTTACCTGTTGTGGAGCGGAACCCCTGTACGGCCGGGGATCTGCGGTTGACATCACGAAAGAATCTCGTATTTGCCGTTCTTCATCTCCAATCTCGTGTCATTTTCTCCCACGAAGCAACAAACCCCCCATGAATAGCATGAGAAAGCGGAGACGCGATCGCGGGCCGCCCGTGACCAGTTTCTGGGGTTCAACGCCACCATCTTCTTAAATGGACGACATGTTCGCGCGACAAAACGCGGCTCTCTCTCCGCTTCTCATCCATCGGCCTACCCTTTAGTGAGCGGGTGATCAACCACATAGGATGAGGGTCTCACACGCACTAGTCTCGGCCCTCCTGGGTTCGAATCTTGCCGTCGCCAACCCGCTTCATCCGCGCATCTATACAAAGCCTCCGCCAGCAAAGCTCCCGAGAGCCGAAACGAGTGAGAACAACAACGTCAACCCGGGCGAGCTTATTCCTGGCGCCTACATTGTCGAGTTCGCAGACGATAATGATACACCCGAGACCTTCTTCAACTCCCTCAAAGCGGATGGCCTCGACGTCGAATCTCGCATGGACCTGAGCAACCGACTGTTCAAAGGCGTGTCTTTCCAGGTCAAAAATGCCGGCGAGGTCCATCATGATAGCGCACTCCTCCGTCGTAAGATCGAATCTTCACCGCGCATCAGAAGCCTCTGGCCTGTGCGTACGATCCAGCTTGCAAAGCCCGAGGACCACGGTGCGCCAGCCAACGGTGCGATCACCAAGGCCAACGCCAGGCGTCAGGAAGCGGCATTCGGAAACTCAACTAAGGATACCTTCTCGCCTCACGTCATGACCCAGGTCGACAAGCTGCGCGAGCAAGGAATCACCGGCAAAGGTGTTCGCATTGCCATCATCGACAGTGGCGTGGACTACACCCATCCTGCCCTTGGTGGATGCTTCGGCCCCGGGTGTCTGGTGGAGGCCGGCTGGGATTTCACGGGAGACGACTTTCTGCCCAACGTGAGACCGCTTCAGCCCGATGCGGATCCGATGGACAACTGCGCTGGACACGGAACTCATGTTGCTGGTATCATTGCTGCTCAACTCGAAGGCAACGAGTACGGCTTCACGGGTGCCGCCCCTGGCGCCAAGCTGGCAGCGTACCGAGCGTGGGGATGCGCTTCCACATCGACGAACGAAGTGTTGCTCGCCGCGTTCAGCCGCGCTTTTGAGGAGGGAGCTGATATCATCTCGTGTTCTGATGGAGAGTTCGTGCACCGTATTCACTTGAGGCGAAGTGTTCATGTTTTGCTAATCTCTATGATAGTCCTTCTGGTTGGGCGGAGGATGCTTGGGGTGTCCTTGCTGCCCGCATCGTCGACGCTGGTGTTCCAGTCGTCATCTCCGAAGGTAACGACGGCGGTAGCGGCATGTTCTACGCTTCAACCCCGGCTACGGGTCGTGGCGTCGCGGGAAGTGGTGCTGTAACGAACTCCAAGTTCCCCACTATCCTCAACGAAGGCACTTTCTCCGTGGACTCTAACTCGACTTCGGGTGCCAAATCTGACTTTGCGTACTTGCCCGGTGTACCCGAGCTCGTGGGAGACCTCTCGCTTCAACTCTGGAGCCCCGGCGAGAACAATGCTTGCAGTGAACTGCCTGATGACACTCCGGACCTGAGCAACAAGATTGTCCTGCTTCTGTTCCCCGATTCCCGCGCCACAGGATGTTATCCAATCGATCAGGGCAGCAAGATCGTCGCCAAAGGTGGACACTACATTCTCTTCTACACTAACGACAATACGTGAGTCATCGCCTCCTTCTCTTCAATGTTTTGTGACGTCTAACATTATTTTCAAGTACTATGCGGGACGAGCAATATGTCTACTCCGAGGGAATTCAAGGTGTCGCTTCTATCCCCCCTTATCAATCTGACCAGTGGCTCTCTCTTTTGGAGCAAGGTCGCAGCGTCACGATCTCTATCCCCAGCGCAAACAACACTAGGACTCGTCTTGAAGAACTTGAGAACAACTCCAGTGGATCCTACATGGGATCTTTCTCAAGCTGGGGCCCAACTTGGGAGTTGGAAGCCAGCCCGCAATTCGCCGCTCCTGGAGCCAACATCCTCTCTACCTTCCCTGTTGCCTTGGGTGGTTACCGTGTGATGACGGGTACAAGCATGTGTGAGTAACATTCCTGTATATCTCTTCGGCTTTGCGGGTG